GTAGCGTAGTTTTTTTTATTGAGAAGCGACGTCAGAATACAATGGCAAAAAAATGTGATTAATTCCTATTGACGTGAATGTTCACGTGAAAATCACGTTACCTATTCCATTGCCGGGTTGTAAACATATATGAATAAGTGAAATGGAGCGAATTTTCAAACAGAGCCGATGTTTTCAAAATCAATTGGAATGTAGCCTTCAACCGCACAGTTGACGTTTCGGTGATAATGTATCATTTTCAAGTTAATGAGGAAAGTGTTATAAACAAATTAATTGTTTACTCGCTGTGAAATTTGTTGTTTACAACAGTCCAAATATAGCATTTGCCTTCGCTCTGTCACTATGAAATTCATATAGAACCGATGGTATACTCGATTCGTCTGGGTCATTCTGATTGACTTTGAACCCAAACGTTTTCCTTTGCGAATCCAATCACTTCAAATGTCTACCGACTGTGGCTAGATTTAGGCTGTTCGTCACCGTTTCACTTTGATTTGATTATTTGCATCGCGGCAAGAGATGAAGAGAAATGCCATTTCAATTCCACTGCGACGTGATAAGGTGCATTTTTGTGCCACAAACAAATTGTGTGTCAGACAAACAGGGAGAATTTTGAAAGCATGTCATCGACTGTATTGATAACTTATAATTGAATTTATAGACCCCAAAAAGTGGTTGATAAGTCAATAGCCATTGATTTCGTTGAATCAATACAAAACGAACTGAACTGAACTGAAATGACTCGATGCTAGTAGAGAGTTCAATTTGTATGCCTGAACTGAGAAGTCGACTTATTTTCACTCTTCAATCACTATTAAGATCGCCAATTGGGTTCTGTAAATTTCCAGTGATAACAAATCCCCAGCAGAAAACATAACACTCAACTAGCAAGTGTGTCAATTATTATTTACGTCGTTTAGAATTTAGAACAATGCTCAAGGATTTATTGACACGAATTTTTCTTGGCAAAAATGTTCACAGTAAACAGTCAATACTGAACAAGAGCTTTAGTGTTTGTAGTTGATAGCAAAACTAATCAGATTCGCAGATTCGTCAGCCGAATACGATAAACAATAAATAATAATAAATAAATAATCAAAATGAATGCAGTACTAACCGGGGGCTCGTGCTAATCATACACGAATCTGTTCTTTTCGCTGCGAAAATTTCCGAATCTTTATGGCATTGCACATATTAATGTTCGCAAAGACTGGCAACGAATAGAATGGATTCGAATGTGATTTGCAAGAGATAAATGACCCTAGACTGGGACAGAGCAACAGATAGACATTCCAATTTTTGAATCACGCGCATATTTTAATCGGCAAATGTCTTGTTTATATTTTTTTGTTGCTCTCACAATAATTTATCTGTAGCGTATTCAATTCGTATGGTGATTACAGACTTCGTGGTTTTGACGTAAGCAGCGAAATGAGTTCAAAAGTCGAGTTGAATTCCCTTCAGAATTTATTCGAAAATGTATGTGGATTCGTGATTTGTTGATCCAGTATGCACAATTTCGAAATAAGCTATTTTCGGATCATAGTGAATGATTGATTGAACATTTTAATTGAAAACGCGTAAGATGTTTTTCCCGAATGTTAGCGGATTTTTTGTCGTTTAAAAAAACGTCTGATACATTCAACGAAATGTCAAAAAGTCAAACACGTTGTTTATATAGAAAGCGTGGCTTAAATCATTCGATAGAAATGCTTTCCTTCAACGGTTGTCGTCATTTTTTTTACCTAATAAGGAGCGATGGATGTAAAAATAAATGGCAAAATGGAATATATAATAGTAATGATAGGAGTTAATTATCAGCGCCACTTAAGGGTTTCAATTTACTCGAGCTGGCGTGCCATAAAAGTGATTTCATGCATACGCATACCGACATCAACTCTCTCTAGAAAGTCAAAAGTTCACATTCATTAGCCCGACCGAGTGAGAAAAAAAACCCATTTAGAATGCCGTAGAATGAACAAAATAGAAAAATTGCGGTGAACATATCACGAAATATTCATTCACATTGTAAATAATAACTAACCGGTTATGTGTATTTTTTTTCTATTGCGTCTCATTTACAGATTATGAATCCGTACAATTTAATTGGATTTTTGCTGGTACTTTTTTACGCCACAAATCGCGTACATGCCGTACCAATTGCATCAGAAGCATCGGATTTAGCTGTGACAGCGGAAAACCGAACAGCCGTACAGAATAATGATGAAAAATTAGACAATTTGCAATACACCATAGTCGATGTAATTGAATCGTCCAAGAATCTGGATCATGATGCGACGACAATTGAGCAAACGACGCAGAAACCACAGAGCGAAACACAAAAGCCAAATTCAATGGTTCGTAGACATGTCAAAAAGTCAAAGACGCGACGACGACCACGCACACAACCAGATTGTCGGTCACCAACCACCGTAAAACCAACAACGCCAAGACCAACACAAGTGGTCGTTCAGCTACCGAATATATTCATTTCACAAACTGGCTGGGGACCAGGTCGCTGACATTGAACAATTTCGACTTTGTTTTAGGATAATCACACTCATTAAATACTCATTGAAATTGTTCACACATACTAAATTGTTAAGGTCCTTGGTACAAATTATTAGATTTAAGAAGACGAAATGAGCATTTGCGCTAGTAGCATTTGATATGAAATTAAAAAACGCTTTAAACTGAAAGTTATCGTTTGTTCTTTCTTACCGTCCATCTCCTTCATGGCCCGTATGAAATCGCCTGGTTCTTTGAATGAAACAAAGCCAAAACCTTTCGATTTGCCCGTTCGCTTGTCTCGAATCACTTTTGCCCTGGTAAATGATGGGAATTTATTGAATGTTCGCGTGAGGAGCTCATCGTTGACATCATTTCCCAAATCACCGCAGAAGATACGAAAATCATCCGATTCCCAATCGGCGAGTGAAGGATCCTCCCAGACCTGTCCACCTGCAACTCGTACCGTCTGCAAGTTGAAAAAGATGTTGTTAGTTAGTTGAGAAAAAAAAAATGAATTCGAAGCTATGAAAAACCTTTTTATCCTTCTTCCGTTTTTCGTTAATTTGAAAGTTTTGCAAAGCTGACGATGCTTTAGCCGCCTGAATGGCGGCTTCTGCGATTGGATTTGGTCCGTTGGGTTTCTCTGTTTTGAGTTTTTTCAATTTTTGTGTCACATCGAATTGAATGTTGGAAATGTCAATCTGCAATAGAAAATAGAGGTTGGTTACCATATGCACGCAATGAAGTTTCGTTTAGATAGGTACTTGTGGTGCGATTGGTGTTTCTGTTGGATTGATAGACATTCGATTGGTGTATAATTTTGGTGCACTACTGAGTACAACCGGTGTCGGTTCAGAACTGTATGATTTCTCTGGAACTGAATGGTCTGAATGGGGAAGGAACGTGGATACAAAGGCCGGTGCAATATGCGGTGGTGGCGGTGGCATATTGTTCATCATTGGACCTTGACCTGGACCTGGACCTGGTTTCGGTAGCGGATTTTGTTGCAACTTTTGCTGGACTTGACTGTAAGTATTTGCACAAACAACCGGTCGCAATTGATGTGGAATAAATAAACTGTTCGAACCGGAATTCGGACCACTGCCACTCGTTGCACCTGAGATTTCTGCCTCGAATCTGACCATGGGAACAAGTAAACGTTTATCGATGTTATTGGATTATTGGATGGGTTGTGTTGGATATTTCAACAAAATTACTATTCTCTATTCTCAGCATGAAATTCATGATATTAGTGTTAAGATCTCTTACCGAGACAACTCATCCTCCATATGCTTTCGTTTCTCACCCATTTTTCAGTCGAATTTGCTCTTTATTCAGTTAATTTTCTGTCTCACACTTTTTTAGCAGCAATTTTTTTTTTATTTACCAAAACGCGATACTGTCAGAGCGATAATTGACAGTTGCAAAAGACACATTTCGTTGACAATGTCGTTGGATGGCTTGTGGTGAACATTTACTGCTACTCACCATAAAGTGAGCAATCCACCAAATGGGACATTTGATTTGTGTATTCCAGTGATGAATTTTAATTATCTCTCTTTTGTCGAACCAATCGAACTTGCAATTCGAATGAAGTATTTCATTTAAAATTTAAAACACACAATGAGACAGCAAAAACGCTGAATGTGCTCGACAATTTCCTTCGCAGTTATAATTTTTTTCAAATATTGTGAACGGTGCATAAGAGCTTTCAACTCCAGCTGATGATTACTGTCAAATTTCAAAGTAAAAAAAAAAGTCAGTTTTATAATAACCTCACAATGTTTACATAAACAAATATGTTCATATTCATTCTGTGATCAAAAGAAAAACACCGAAAGCAAGAGACAGAGCAGCAGCAGCAACGCGCGACTACCGAAAAAAAAAGTTTCATCGGTATGACTACGTTTCTTATATAAGCAAATAGAAAATAATGTAAAATTTTTGTGCGAAATTTTGAAAAGAATTTAGTTACTGCGACGCAGAAATAATTGTTGAATCGAAAAAACTGTGAAAATTTATTTGTATTGATGTAATGGACAAAAGAAGAGTGGAAAAAAAAGAGTTCAAAAGCGCAAACAAGTGAATGTGAAAAAAGGTGTGAACCACGTCGTACATTGAATTAGTTGTCAAAGTGTGTGCTTGCGGTGGCTCGTAATTTTCGGTTAAATCACAAGTAGTTGTGACGTTGATGCGGCTTTATTAATGAATTCATACGAAGATAATACGATCGGCTTGGATGATCGAAATGAATACAAACAAATACTACCATTGGTTCGTGTCGAACCAAACAAAGAAAATAATTTGGACGACATTTTTGCACTGATCGTCAGCAAAGAGGCAAAGAAAAATGATAGAACCGACAGCGATAAACTTACGCAACAAGATTTATGTAAATTGGATAGCTTTGGAACATCGTTGGCGAGGTAATTGATAATAATCATCACATACTTTCAATTTTTCGTTTATAAAACGATGTGTTTCTTTTTTGCAGCGTGGAAAAATTACTCGAGGCACAATGCTGTTTCGAAAAGATCCTATCGATTGATGCCAATTATTTGAAATCATATCAGAATTTGGACAATGTAAAAAATCAACTGGTGGAGCGGTGGCATTTTGGCATGCTAAACGACTCGGACCGCAATCGAAAATACAAAGCAGCTATTGGAAAAGCGATTCAGCAGCGCAACCAAGTCAGTGTATTGGATATTGGAACTGGGACAGGACTTCTGGCATTATATGCACATGAATTAGGTGCCGCACAGACAGCAGCCTGCGAATGTTCACCGCTTATGTGCCACATTGCATCAGAATCGTTTCGTCGAAATGGATACGGTGATCAAATCAAACTGATACCGAAGCATTCCACCAAATTGGATGCACACAGCGATTTAGGTGGGAAGGTCGATTTGATTGTGACGGAGACAATGGATTGTGGAGTGTTTGGTGAAGGACTACTCGATACGCTTATTCATGCCAAAGAAAGTCTTCTCAAATCCAATGGTTTGATTATACCAGCGCGAGTTAGACTGTTTGTGGCCGGATTTCAATCACGACAATTAGCAATGGAACAGAATGTGGTTAACTCAAGTTGCTTTACAGACACTATTTATGTGCAGAACTATAGCCTTAGCTCGAATAACCGAGAACCGTACGATGCATGTCACATTGATCAACTCAAGGATTTCAAATTGATTACAAAAGTCGAAGAAGCGATGAACGTGAATTTGAACAATTTAGACGAATTATATGCCCTCATGAATGGTGAACTGAAAATGAATGTACGATTGGCTTACATTACGCCCGAGTCTATTTTAGATGGATTTTGTGTTTGGTTCGAAATATCTCTTGATCCAGATGATACGATAAAAGTCAATACAGACCCATTAAACCGTGATGCATCGATTGGAGAGCAGCCAGGTTGCTGGGAAACTGCCATTTTCCGTTTGAAACATCGATTCACCAACTCACAAAAGCTACAAAATCTCAATGTTACCGTTTCCGCAGCGAATGGCATACTCAAAATTGATCACTATTACGACGCCTATGGTAAAACCTATTCGGGATTGACTAGCGAAATGGTGAAATTTTTAAATGACACTGAACTGATCAACGCACTCGAATTTGATGTTTTTGCTGAGGTGCAAAAGCGATTCGGAAAACTGCATGCAACCTCAACGACGAGTAAAAATAAGGGACCAAAACAAGAGAAAGTTTCAAACGTCGAAAATATACTGGACTTTTTACCATTTCCCACGGTGGGAATTGCTCTGCTAAAAGAGCATCGACTCAAAACGCTGTACTGCTCGAAAGAAGCCATGGAATTTGTTTCATTTATAGCCGAAGCAAATTGTATACCCTTAGATTCGATAGTATTCATCGATGATCCACACGACACCCTATTCATCAACGATAAATTCGATTTGATTATTCTGCCGTTGATCGATAGCTATGGAGCATTGAATTCGAGTCAAGTGGCAAATTATGGTATTTTAAAGGAAAATAAATTGACGCCAAAAGGTTTCATGCTACCCGAAACGGTAGAGGTCATGTGCAACATTATCAACTCAGGCTGGTTACGAACGGCGACACGTGTAATCGAACCAGAGATTGTGGATCGTCTTCAAATCGGTGCGCTAATCAATGAGTATGCAACGACATTGCATCTAGATCTATTTGAAGACTTTAATTGTAAGATATTGTACGAAGCGTATCGAACGGCCAATGTGCAACTGCATGACAACTTTTATGAAATTGAGCACAAATTATACTTAGGCGATGATAAAACTAACACGGTCAGCACGGAACCAAACACCAACAACACCAATGCCATTCATGGTGTGCTGTTTTATTTTAATATTTTGTTGACCGCTTCATCGAAAAATACAATTTCAACAAAGCGAAAAAATTCATTTGCTCGGATAGGCTGTTTTATATTCAATGAGAATGATGTGCACAGGGAAAATGGTTTCGTTACATTGAAATACCGACAAAATACAGGTGTAATGAAAATCGATTTAAAATAGCTGGTTTTTAAAACGTGTTTTCGTTGTCATTGCACCACCTTCTTCTGCAAAATAATAATATAAATATGTATTGTTTTCAATTGAAATGTCATTTTTTCTCTCTCAAATGTGTATTTTTTTATTATGCGTTTTTTTTTCTGTTGAAACTTCAGTTATCAGTAATTAAACAAACGAAAAAAAAGGTACAATAATAATTCAAAATAATAAATGTATATTATCAAAATTGTAAAAGAATTTTGACCATATATAATGCGAATAATAAAACTCAATCCAACATAAAGGAATAATACTAAAAAAAAATAAAGTTGTTTTCGTTTTAGATAATTTTGTTTGTTTCATAAATAGAAATAATAATAATCATATTTTTTTTTTTTTTTCAACGAGTTCAATGCAATTGAAAGGATAATGTGGTTGTTCATTTTTTTTTGTTCGCAAACTCTTAGATAGATCAGAAAAGTGTTTAGCGTCGTAACATTTACGCTATGTTTTCGACGTAATTTATAGTTAAAATTCATAAAATAATAAATACTTTCGTTCATAATAATTGTCGATTGTTTTGAAAAGAGAAATTGTCCTAAATTTTTATAATTAGCGAAAGAAAAAATTGATACATATAAATTTTATACGAAATTATAATAAACAACAAAAAAACAAATCCGCGTCCACATCCACGGTCTGAATGACGTGATGCACTTTATCTCAATCTCAAAGTTCACCTTTTTTTTGTCTAAATTATCAATGTTTCTTTTTTTGTGTGGATTTCTTCGAGTAAGAGATCCATTTTTTCGTAAACAAGGTTAATCGTTTGTGTTTTTATTTATTGATTACCGGCCACATTCTTCAGGTTTTCGTCGAAGAAGAGGCGATTCTTAATCAAACGATCCTGAACGCTGGGCAATTTAAAGGGAACCCCATTGATGATGTTGCTCATTGGCTTTGGTGTTGGGTCCACTTGAATCACTTGCTGCGGCGGTGGTAATTGCGACTGTAGCGGTTGTTGTTGTTGCTGTGGTGGCTTGAAATGATCAATTACCGGATAGTTGATCGAAGCCGGTGCATGTGCTTGTGCATTTAAGCTCAAGTCCATCATAGCCAGAGGAGGACTCGAGACGTATTGTTGCTGTTGTAGCTGTGGTTGTTGTTGTTGCTGCAACTGCTGCTGCTGCTGCTGCTGCTGTTGCAATTGTAGCTGTTGTGGTTGAACTTGCCGCATTGTTGCACCGCCAACACGGCCTGAGCCAATGGACCTAGCTGCTTCCACTGAAATGAACAAATAATTTAGCATAAAAAAGAATTACATGTAAAAGACTTCTCATGCAAATAAGAAGGCTGCCAAAATTTCATCCAAAAAAAAAACTCATCTTACATTTGACACTTTTCACTTCACCGTCTTTGGTCACCGACACAGTGATATTTCCGCGCTTTTCAATCGACAAATCCGATAAATTCTGTTGCAAATGGTCTACATCTGGTTTAGCTGGCATCATACGCTGTTGGATGGATGATTTATTGCTTGTTTTTGTGTTTAAATTCAATTGACGTTCATCGACCATTCGGCCGGTTGGTGAGGTCGGCACATTATTTTTGCTTTCTTTGCCATCGTTTCGTTTATCGTCCGTGCGTCTCCACATGCCATCGCTTGATGTTTGTCGTTGCATTCGTGGTTCGTTGTTACGTTCACGATCATTTTTACGCAAAATTGGTTCGTCGGTTGATTTTCCTTTTGGCAATGGTGTCTTGCCTTTGGCACCATTTCGTCCACGATTGAAACTACTGTTGTTGCCGTTATTCCGTCTATTGTTGTTCAAACCGGTGTTATTACTATTATTATTACTGGCCCGCCAATTCTTGCTATCATTCGAAGCGATGTTTGCTTGGGCTTTTCCATCGCGTTCAGCATCGGCCAAAAAATTATACGTTGGATCGGCTGGTGGTCCTTGACCGTCGGGAAACTTTTTAAATGGACGTTGCAATCTGGCTTCATCCACTGGTTTCTTATCGTCAGCATTGATTTCTTCATTTTTCACATCGTATGTGAAATCCAATTTGTCGTATTTATGCGCTTTGGGCCAATCCTCATCGGACGGTGCGGTCGTTTTAACCATTGCATTCGCTTGTAATGCTGCCAAACGATCGGCTTCGGCTTCACGATGTCTCTTTTCAATCTCTTCATCTCGTTTCCGGATCCGTTCAATTCGTTGCTCCAGATTTTCCTCACATATATTTCCACCGGGCATTTTGTATCTGATGTTGCTTCTTGTGTTTTGAACAAAATTTTTCTACCTTTCACACGAGATAAAAGCGTTAGAAAACCTGAAATTTAAGAAAGTAAGAGAAAAAAAACATGTTTCAATGATTTTAGATATATATAGTAAATGTGATGATTAGGAAAGTAGGCCAGCCGATATTCTATTAGGTCAATTGAATTAAATCACTGTCACTTTCACGCAATTATTCGATACATTTTTTTCTCTTCTTCTTCTATTTGCTGTGGCTTTCTGTTTTTTTTTTTAACTAGTTACAAATCGCACTGTATGTGATGTCATGTTACCACTTGAAATAATTTTTTTTCCTCGCATTCCACAGTGTAGACTTAGAATTTAGTAGAGTAAATGTTAAACATGAAAAATACACTGACCTGTTCAATATATCTAAATTGCTGAATGGATCACACTAAAATACACACTGTGAAATTCGGTTGTATGCGTGCGTGTAATAGAAGCAGATAAAATAAAAGTCTTGTGCATCTAATCTCAAAAATTTGTAATTCAACCGAAAGGAACGAGAGAAAAAAATACGATTGACGAAAAAATTGAGACTAAAACACTATTGGCACACGATGATGATGTTGTAATTAGAATTTACAATGCGTTGCCACAAAATCAATGCAAATTTTATTGATATTTTTTGTGTATTTTCTACTCTATAAATTAATAATTTGACTATTTGTAAAGGTGGAGCGAGTGAGTGAGAGAGATAGAGAATGAAAGAAAAAAATTCGGAAACGAGATCGCCTGCTGTCGGTGACAGACAATGTCGACTGTGTGGTATCGAGTGAAAATATATGGAATGCGCTCACTTGTCAAATTAAAATGCACAACCATGCTCATTGCTCACACATACACACGCAGCGCTAACGAAAGAGGGATACTGTGATGGGAGGTGTGTATTTGACATATGGCTTCAGAAAAAAAATCAGTTTCTCCATTTTGCAACAGCATTTCAAAGATGTCATTTTAAATGAAAATTTCAAGAGATTTGGTTATTCAATCGAGAAATTGAAATTCATTCCACATGGAAATCGATTTACCAACAGTTTTATTCAGCATTTTTTCAAGTGAAATAAATTTTTTTGGTAGAAATGTCGATGTCAAATCGAGATATATCACATATTTGTACCATCTGAACACCCTGTTCACATTCCAAAAATAACTGAGCGCATATTCGATGCTCTCGGTCGTTTTCAGTTGGTGAAATTCATCAAAACAAAAAATGGTAACACTAGAAAAGTCACAATGCACGCACATATACCATTGAGCCTAGCCTTATCTGACTACCTCTCATTGACAGGCAGAAAAAAAACTACATATCAATGTGTGTTAGAACATCTGATATGTAAGCATCAATAGCACACCAGAAAAAGAAAAAGAGCCATACAAATTCAGTGATAATGATAAAACTATTCAAAATATCATGATTACATTTATTACCGTCACATTCGATAAATCCATACCATAAAATGAGTTAAACTGTTATTCTCAGTCGACATTGGTAGCGCAAAACAACTTGCGAAAAATACATGTTCTACCAAACATTACAACGCAATTAGTCATTCAGTAGAATAAAGTGATTTCAATATTTACACGAAATCTTATGTAACGAACTCAATTCAATACTCTACAGAATCAATCATTCAAAACACATTTCACCGTTTCTGTTTGAGAGGTTATACCGCTTCGTGTGATTCCAACGAAAATTGACGATCGGCCAGAGACAATGAGGTCGACATTTGTGATAATCATTTGTATTGGCATTCTATCGGTATTTATGTTTATGACCCGATCCACCGGCTATATTGATGACTTTGACCAAGAAAAAATTGAGAAACGTAGCCAGAACTTCAAATCAAAAGCACAAAGTGTATATATGAACGAGAATCCAGAACATTTATTCTGGTTTGTACAGGTGTGTAAAGTGGTATTTTTCGGAATTCAAGTGCAAAATGTTGAATTAATTTTTTTATATTGTTGTTGTATAGATCTCCGATATTCACATCAGCATTTTCCGTGATGAGCAACGAATTCGCGATTTTCGTAAATTTGCCACTGAGACGTTGGACACAATCAAACCGTCGGTGGTAATCGCTTCAGGAGATTTAACTGATGCACGAGGAAAAGACTTTTTTATCAGTCAACAGTATGACGAAGAGTGGAAAATCTATCATGACATTCTCACACAGGCGAATGTGAAAGAAAAGACTAAATGGCTTGATCTACGTGGCAATCATGGTTTGTATTGATACAATGGTATTCAATTGTGACAAAATGGTATTGTTCTACTCGAACAGTCATTATTATGCGAATTACTTTTAATTCTAGACAATTTCAATGTCCCATCGAGCATGTCAAATAACTCCCATTTCAAGCGATACTCAATCCAAGGTGCGAAGCATAAACGTTCCTACATGGAGATAGTCAAAGGCTCGAATGGTGATTTGTTTTCATTCATCGCGGTCGATGCATGCCTCGAACCATCAGGACCAAAAAGACCGTTCAACTTCGTAGGAATGTTAACGCAAAATGACACCGTTCATTTGCAGCATTTGGTGGATGAGTCAAGAAAAGCGGGAGTCAATTACACCATTTGGTTTGGCCATTATCCTACAACATGTATAATCACAAAGAACAAAGAAAATCGTTCGTTGCGTCGCATTATCAGTGATTACGACACCAGTTTGGCTTACATGTGTGGTCATCTGCATTCATTGGGCGGAATGGTTCCTCGAATGTATGCGCTGCAAGCCGATAGCTTTCTTGAACTCGAAGTTGCCGATTGGAAGACATGTCGAAAGTATCGAGTGGCCGCAATCGATCATGGGTTACTCTCAATCGTCGATACTGAACATGGTGTTTGGCCCATCGTATTGATTACGAATCCGAAGCATGCACTCTTCCATATTCCACATCGACATGAAGCTAAGATTCAATTAGGTTGGTTGACAGTTGCAATTTTTAGACAAAAAAGTCGTAATGAATCATTTTCAATCATTATTCATAACACTCAACTCTGTTTCCCTGTTCAGAATCGACGCACATTAGAATATTGGCATTTTCCCCGTCTGGTATCAAAAGGTGTACGGTTCAAATAGGCAATGAACTCAAAGAGACATGCAAACAAGTTAACGATAACTTTTACGTTGTTCCATGGGATCCAAAGCGTTATCAAAATGGATTGTATTACATCACAGTGACGGTTGTGGATAATGATGGCCGGGAAAATCAAGTGGCACAGCCATTCAAATTAGACGAAGAACGATCGCTGAAATTCGACTTGTTAGCGCTTTTTGTGCTACAAACGGATGCAACAACCATATTCAAGAGTATGTTCTGGTTTTCACTGGTTGTTTGTGTTGCTCCATTGATTTTCCTGCGCAGTTGGCATGAGCTAGTCAAAGGTAAGGTCAATAATATGAATTTTTTTTTCAGAAAATGTTAACAATTCGAATGATTTCAGTTGGTTTACTTAACCGACGACGCAACACCTGCCGTTCATCCATGTCATGTCTACAGCAATTTTGGATTCTATCATCAGTGGATCGAATCTTCTGGCCAGTCATTTTGTACTGCTTCTATTTGGCAGTCGGACCATGGGTAATCTGTGAAATAGTTGATGGTCGGTATGGGGCAGTTTTCGTGTGGGGAATCTATTTGGATGGATCATTCTTGCCTGGATCTCTTACATTCTTTTATGGATTCTCACAATTGCTACTATGTCAATGTCCGTTGAACTGGATATACTCAAAGTGTCTCTCAAAACGATACTATCAAGTGATTGGAATGCCAACGAAAAACCACCGTGGATGGTGGACTAAGATCTCACAGGCTGCATTCTACTTCATAATCGCCATTGAGATTTCACTTTCCGTATTCTTTGGCATTCTGTACGGTGCGTCCGCATTTTTCCTAAGCGTGTTCAGAACATGGTCGGTGGTGTTGAACATTTATCTCTATTATCTGGCAAACAATTTACCAGAGGATGCACTAAGGTAATATTGGTATTTATCCAATGAATTTATTCAAAGAGTTAACACGAAACGTTCTTACAGATCTGTCGTATATGTTTGGAGTGGTCCAGAGAAACCTCTCACTGAAAATCAACAAACGACCGCAACAGAAACGTGAATATCATGATGAAGACTGATACTTGAGTACCTTTGAATCTAATTTAATTCCTCTGTTTATTTTGCAGTGACGACAGTCATAAAAACTGAAATTGGAGCTCATGCTTCGGACAACTTTACGGATACAATTATTATTCACAACTTGGCCATAATCTCTGTGACTCTTTCTCATTTTAAGCTGATGTGATGTTCAATGACACGGGTTTTGTCCTAATTTTTACACACATTCAATACATCACATGTTTTAGTTGACTGTACCACATATATAAATGTATGTTAGAAACCAACCAGAGGCTTTCGTGTTAGATGACTATAGATAAAATGAATTCCAAAATGACTATAAAGAATATTATAACCATAATATGTGGAACAACAACAAAAATGGGATATTTTTTAGAAATAACAACCAAATCGTGTTGAAGTAAACATAATGTGTGTTCCAAACTCATGCTATCTTTCCAAGCACCATATTTAATTCTAAGCAATATATGATTTTGATGAAAATTTACAATTATTTTCAATGAAACTGAAACATTAATATGTGTAATATTTTTCGTACCCAGTGTTTCTCCCGACAACCATTTGTTGAAATAAAACAATGATTTAACATATATTGAATGGTCATGAGAGATTTTTTTCTGACGAAGGGCAAGTAATGAAGCTCAAATTGTGGAGTTCATTTCGATCCGTACAGTGTCCATTCCACATGCTTTATTACTTGTGAAAATGACGATTCGGCGATGGAATTATTTATTTTCTGAAGAAATAGATTTTCAATGAAGAAGTGTACAGATTAGAATTGTGTCTTCCTAATTTGCCCTATTGTTTACCTGCAGTTTACTTTGTAAAATTTTCTTTTTTTTACACAACTTTAGATCGATAGTATATGTCTTAATTCATCGTTCCAATGCAAAATCCGCGTTTGGTGTACTGATGAAAAACATTTCTAAAAAAAAATCTATCTTGTGAAGAACAGATTATAATTTAGCTCGCGAATAGCCACAAATGAATGTAAAATAAGACAAGTCACTCCGAATGGAATGTGAACGATTTTTTTTTTTCATTTTTCAAAAAGAAATTCCTTATTGGCATCAATAATCACAACAAAAAAACTATCTGTAACCGATGAAAATAAAAAAAAAAATCATTAGGAACCATATCATTTGCAGCATTAGCATGTTGTCCTTTCAAAAAAAGTAATACCGCCTAAAACACATTCTAGTACTTCATTGATGTTCTAGATATGTCATAGAAGAAGCAATCGTTGTCATTTTGGAGCAAACTTTTTTTGTATATATTTTGCCGATTGTCAACATAACAGAGGATTTTATTGCGTTTCTTTGGATTTAATGCCATCACAATGGAACAACGATATTTTAATAATCCTTATGAAGACTACAAAGGACAGCATGTTGAAGTGGATGAGAATTATGTGCGTAATTTGATAAAAACGTACGTGCAACAAATCGTGGAAAATACTCAAAGCGGAGACTCACGCGGAGATTTGTATGTTGGCGATGCAGGTTCTATATTGCTGATTTGCGTTTATTTTTCAACTTTCAACAGCTATTTATTTAATTTTTTTCTGCTAGGTATTGCATTCATGTTCCTGCGTTTATGCCAAACCAATGAACTGGTTCAAGAAACATCGGCTCGGGAAAATGCGCAACTTTACATACGCCGTGCCAAACGCAATGCAAAGCAATACTCACGTTCAAGAGATGAGCGATGTGCGTTTCTATGTGGCAACGCTGGAATCTACGCCGTTTCGGCTGCCATATCTGATCTCATGCAAAAAGCCGACACTTTGCAACAAGATTTGAATAATTTCGAACAAGGATTCGAGGCATGCAAACCGGTTAACTTCAGTAGATATGGCAGTGATGAGTTGCTCGTCGGACGTGGCGGATACCTCAGCGGAATGTATTGGTTGAACAAAACACTACGACCAAAGCCATTCTCTGGTGAGGCAATCATTGAACTGTGTGAGTCAATTGTGCAAAGCGGACGACAGTATTCCAAAGCGAAGCGATGTTCTTTCCCACTGATGTATCAATACCATTCAACGGAATACTTGGGCGCTGCACATGGTCTAAGTGGGATCATGCATATGCTTTTGGAATCACCTTGGTTCAGCACAGATCCAAATTACGCAATCCCAATTCCAAAAGACTACGAAGCAGATGTTAGAAATACCATCGATGCATTTTTGGGTGAGTTTGACTACCTAGTTGTCTGGTCAATTTTAGCATAGCTTCTTCATCGTATGTTTTAAATTACTAGCACTGCAAGACAGAGAGGGAAATTTCCCTTGTGACATGGAAAATGCTACATACGGCAACGGCGTCAATAATCTTGTGCATTGGTGCCATGGAGCACCAGGAGCTATTTATCTTCTCATAAAAGCGTACATAGTATTCAAGGAAGAGAAATATTTGGTGGCATGTCAGCGAGCTGCCGATTTGGTTTGGCATAAGGGTTTGCTATTCAAAGGCCCTGGTACATGTCATGGTGTAGCTGGAAATGGTTATGTCTCTCTAGTCATGTATCGACTTACCAAAAATCCAAAATATCTCTATCGAGCCGTTCAGTTTGCAAACTTTCTGATGCGACCAGAATTTCTTCAATACGCCAGAAGGCCGGATTGCCCATGGAGTTTGTACGAAGGATTAGCCGGAACAGTTTGCTATCTTATCGATCTTCTTCACACCGAAACAGCCGCTTTCCCTTTTATGGATGTGTTCTAAGTTTGATTTGGGAATTCTAATTCAATTATCACTCAATACTATTTTGATACTCATTTATCTGATAATAACTCATAGAATAAAGTCGAATATTTTTCTCAAAGAATCAATAAAAACTACCATGAAACAAATAAAGTCAATAGCTTCTATTAATGACTCAATGTTATTTTTCACTTTTTCAGCTTTACAAGAAAGAGACGGTAACTTTCCCGTAGCGTTAGGCAGTGAAAAGAAGCGAAACACTGAAAAGCGATTGGTTCACTGGTGTCATGGTGCAACTGGCGCTATCTACTTTTTCCTGCGAGCATATCAAATTTTCAACGATCAAAAGTATTTGGATGCATGCCAGAAGGCGGCAGATTTGATCTGGGAAAAAGGATTGCTGAGAAAAGGGCCTGGAATTTGTCATGGCATTACTGGAAATGGCTATGCATTCTTGATGCTTTTCAAAGTAACTCATGATGTACGTTACCTGTACCGTGCCATTAAATTTGCTGAGTTTTTAAGCCAATCTCGATTCATTCGCGAAGCAAACGTTCCAGATCGACCATATAGCCTATACGAAGGCACAGCTGGTGCAGTTTGTTTCCTCGTTGACTTAATTCATATTGATCAAGCCAGTTTTCCATTTATGAACATTTGAATGAAATAAAATATGATTTTCGATTATGGTGAATGATTTAGAAAGTTAATTTAGTTCGTTTCATTTGATTCTCCCATTTGTTTGTTTCTTATGTTTTAGAACAATAGTTTGCAACTTTTTCAAAGTTCACTCTATTACTTCTTTGTTGTTGCCATACAAGAATCGATTCTTAGCATGCATTTTACCTGCTGTGATTGTATAGACTAGAAGAAAGTCTAGAATAACGACGTACAACAGAACCACCAAATGACCTTTGTACTTTAGCCTATGTGTTCAAAAGGAAACATTCAAACCTTATCTGAAAGCCCATTAGTAAAGTAATATTTCAAACCAGTACATCATTCAGTTCCTTCTCGTTCTTCAGTGTATACATCAACATTGACAGCAGCAATTATCCTTGATAGTTCTCAGCCTATTGATCTAGTTCAAATCACCAGTTTGATCTCTTCACTTGGAACAATACAACGTTGTATTTGATAAATTTTTTTGGTTATTTCTGAAAATTCAACGGTAAGTGTGAATGTTCAATTTTTTATCCAGTAGTTATTAATAGTTTTTCGAATTATTTTAGGTTCAAACCTGTATAAAATAAAATATGGATACAGCCCCATCACAAGATTCACCAAAACACATCCTAAACATATTGAACGATGATTGTATTCAATCAATTTTGCGTCGAATAACGTATCCACAAGACTTTTTATACGCAGCTGAAACATGCACTCGGTTCCAGGCCAATGCAAAGGAATGTTTTCGATCGAAATATAAGAGAATCGGTATAGCTCCCATGTGTCCCGACTATAGAATCGAACTCGAAAATACTTTTTTTATACCATATGAATATGTGCATCGTTTTCTGGGTATTTTTGCTAACTTCATTGACTCGGTAATATTTCAAGGTCCTGTACAGCAACCAGATATTTCTTATGAGGAAATTTTCGCAATGACTGCACATTTCTGTGGCAGAGTACTGAAAAAATTGAAAATCGTTATTTGTCACCACGTCGATTTCAACAAATTAGAACCATTTTTAGCATTGGAAGAATTGGAACTAGTGAAATCGAGAGTGTGGAACATTAAAAATTGCTCAAAACTCAAAAAATTGACGTTATATGGCTGCGTATTTGAATATGATAAGAAACGACCATTGAATGATTGGATGAAGCAAACATTTCCGCATTTGGAAGAGATAGTTATGTATAGTAATATAAAAAGACCTATGTTGGTTGATTTCCTAAAGTTGAACCCTCAATTGAAAACATTGGAACTGCGTAGTTTCGAAGTTCTGACATCATCAGTTCTATGCAATATCGGAAGTCGTGTGCCAAACCTTGAAAAATTGGTCATAAAACTTACTTCTTCTAGAGTTGATAGAATAAACCTTGAGAAAAATATACTTCATATAAGCGGATTGCAAAAATTAAGATCCCTAAGTATTTCATTTGGTGAGGTATTGTCAACACATGTTCTGGTTGATACTATCCTTAAAAATAATATTCCAATTGATGATTTTGAATTGATTAGCTGGTCAGGCAACAATACTGAAACATTGCATAGTGTATTGGAGTTAAAGACACTTAAAAAGCTATCGCTTGGACATGTTTCTGAACAATTGTTTATCGCAATTGCTGAACAAATACCCAGTTTGAAAGATTTGACCGTGTCCAGGTGCACAGACATTAGTGGTCGGTCAATAAAGCAAGCCCTGGAATATGGCAATAATTTGTCGCGCCTCGCAATTCACATGAAGTTAAACCATCTTTCTGAGGGGGCTTACTTTAAATTAGATTCAGACAGTTATAATTCAATTTTGGCACTAGCTAGAGGTCGCGTAAATATTATAATTGATAGTATTTATTGTACGACTGATGTTCCAGACGATGTATTGAATGCGAACCGCCAGTGGATCGAAATAAATTTACACTCATTAAATAATTAAATCTCTTCTTTTCAAAATAATAATTTCACAAAAAATTCGCTAATATAAGGCAATATTGTACTTTGGAAAGCATTAAATTGAAATAAACGACTTGAAATTGAAATGAATCTCGACTGTATTTAAAACGCATTTATAAATTAGAACGAGTGGTATTATTTTCTCCATAACTGCACGACGATTCCACACGAAACCGAACAAAATCGCAAGTGACCTCTTCGATTTCGCTCCAAATTGGTGTATAAACATGGCATGACCAGAAACTCGCAAAGCCAAAAAAATTTGGGTGACCTTCCCCACTTGATGAAAAATTAGGATGGTCCATATTTTGCGAAAAATTGACTATAGCACTTTTTTGACATTTTTTCACACAGAAAAGAATCCCCGGAAATTTTAAGTGTTCGCCGTAAAATTTGACATTTATATATAAATTTCTATAGACATTTTACCGGCAACACTTCAATTTCCCGGGCGATGACATATTTTCGAATATTTTATCAAATACTATATATATTCTACCGCTTGAAATGACAGATGGCGCTAATTTCTGTTGGAGTATTTGAAATTATGTCATCGCCCGGAAAATTCAAGTGTTGCCGGTAAAATGTCTATAGAAATTTATATATAAATGTCAAATTTTACGGCGAACACCTAAAATTTCCGGGGATTCTTTTCTGTATCAAATAAAATTGTGTAAACACCTTATTGATTCTACACGGAATTATCAAAATAAAAAGTGAAAAGTGTGGTACAAACTTTCAAATATAGAAGTAAAAAATTGTAATGCCTATTATTACTTATTACTATTACTATTACTTTTGTAAAAAAAAACCTATTACTATTACTGTAATAGGAAAAGTAATAGTAATAGGTAAATCCTATTACACAAGTAATAGTAATATCTATTACTTTCCTAAAACTATGGGTATGGGTTTTTGGGGCCATTTTTGAGTGTGGTTATGTAGGTACACCCACACCTATTACTACTCACTCAGAACGGAATTAATACGATTCACATATACCAATGGTGATCTGTCAAATTACCATCATTACTATTGGCGAGAGTGGCGATTTTGTATGTATTGTATCTGCTCTGCTGTGCGATATTACTATGTCACAAAAATGTATCGGTAGTAGTATGGTCATATTACAACCAATACCACTTTGTTACATAGTAATCGTTCAGCCATTGAATCACTCACGACAAATGCCGATGACGTTGTGATAGTTGTTGGTGACTTTAATCTGACAAACGTTGAGTGGTTAAATGACGATGAGGATAGCAATGTGCTTGTTCCCTCTAATTTCCACTCCCAATGTGCTGCTGATTTCATTACCGGCCTGATGGGCCTGGGCCTCCAGCAAATCAATTCAATAAGAAATCGGAACTTCAAACTGTTGGACCTATTTTTCACAAACGACCATGCCAACACATCAATTTCCGATGCCACTAAACTGTCACTGACGGATAAAATCGACCATTACCACCCTCCTCTGCTGATTGAATTTGAATGGCATCCGAATAACAGTGGTTCCGAAAACCAGAATAATACGCATTTCAACTTCAAACGGGCTGATTTTCAGCGCATGAACGAATATTTTGCTGCCGTCAATTTCGATGACTTATTCGCAAACAAATCACTTGCGGAGAAGGTGTCATCCCTTCATGACGTGCTAGCGGAAGCTATTCAGTGTACGGTTCCAACGTATGTCCGCAAGAACAACCAAAAATGTCCATGGAAAAACAAAGAACTTCGACACCTCAAGAACTTAAGGAAAAAAGCCTGGGATTACTGGAAGCTGACCAATGATAAGGAGCCATTTGAAAAATTGCACGAGGAATTCAGTGCAAAAAACACTGAACTATACAATCAGTACGTCGACAAAATGAAATCAAACTTGAAAAGTGATCCTTCTTCGTTTTGGCAATATGTTAACTCTAAGAAGAGCACTGATAACATTCCAAAAAACATGCGATTCTGTGACACCAAGACATCCAGCGAATCAGAGCAAGCAAATTTATTTGCGGACTTCTTTGGGAGCAATTACTCCACATCAACGACGCCAAATAATCAACCGTCACCTCAGTCTGAGAACACCTCTTGTTTCCAGCTTGACCTCGATTTTGTCATGACTGAAATGACGAAGGTCAACACCAAGAAAGGTGTTGGACCTGACGGTATTCATCCTTTGATTTTAAAGGAGTGTGCTCAGACGCTTGCTAGTCCGTTGACCAAGATCTTCAATGAGTCGCTTTCATCTGGCATTTTTCCCGACGAATGGAAACGATCGAGTGTATCACCCATATTCAAAAAGGGCGCCAGATCGGACATTGAAAACTACAGGTGCATAGCAAAACTACCAACGATCGCTAAATTCTTCGAGCATCTCGTCAACGTAAATTTGCTTGAAATTGTTCGTGATCGCATCTCGCCTAACCAACATGGCTTTATGAAAGGACGATCTACAGCATCAAACCTAACCGAGTTTGTGTACTACGCCCAGAGTGGCTTAAACACTGGAGCTCAAGTTGATGTCCTGTATACGGACTTTACGAAAGCCTTTGATCGAGTTGATCACAGCATATTGATCCAGAAGTTGGAAACATTCAATCTACCTCAAAACATGCTGGCATGGCTTAAGTCGTACCTGGAAAATCGTACCCAATTTGTCAAACATGGAGCAAGTGAGTCGGTCGACTTTACAGCGTCGTCGGGTGTCCCACAGGGGAGCCACCTCGGACCAACACTGTTCCTGCTGTTCATCAACGACATCGTGGATCAAATGCCCCCAGACATCATGATATTATTGTTTGCTGACGATATCAAAATTGCCAAAATCATCAAATCTCAGCAAGATTCGGAGATATTGCAACAAGCCATCGACAAACTTAAACATTGGTGTGACGTGAATCGGCTGCACCTTAACCTCAAAAAATGTGCAGTACTATCTATCTACAAGAAACGTCAGCATTTGGATACAAACTACACCTATGGCGACTATACCTTCGACAAAGTGACTGAACACAAGGACTTGGGTGTTCTAATTGACAGAAAGCTATCTTTTGCCAAACACATCGACATGGTCACTTCGAAGGCAACGGCTGCACTTGGCTTTGTCAAACGCTTCTGCCATGATATCACCGACGTTACCACACTAAAGTCGCTGTATTTTGCATTGGTTCAATCCCACCTCGACTACTGCGCCATGGTATGGCTTCCATTCCACAAGATCCACAGCGACAAAATTGAATCCGTGCAACGCCAATTCACTATGTACGCTCGTCGTGAATACCCATCCGTGCATAACCAATATTCAATCACACCGTATGAGCAGCGATTGTCAGACTTGAACATGATTAGTCTTCGCCGTCGACGTGTCAACGCGTCATTGACATTTTTCTACGACATCATCAACGGTAACGCTAACTGTCCAACAGTTAGTGACCAAGTCTCATTCCATAATGGCCGTTCGTTGAGACACAGTGAGCAATTCAAGGTCAATGACAAGCACATGAAGTTGGTGCGCGAGGCTCCAATTCCTCAAATGTGCAAAATGGCGAACATGGTGCCACAATTGTTCACAAGAGCTACCTCGAAGACGAATTTTGCATCATCGGTTCGCAAAATGGCGGACACCACTTTTGGATCGCTTTGCAAACTCAAATGACTACCTGGCCGCCTCGTCAATTTTTCATCCAGGTAACCTCATTTATTTGTATATGTTCTCTACGAGAACACGTAGATACTACCCACACTAATTATGGAATTACGATTTTCATGTTGCCGTTAAACCCGACCCATGATCTCAAACGGACGAACCCGTCAAGGACAACACAGATTGTCCGTGTGCCATTTTCTTTGGGATGCCGCTGATTGCAACAAACATGAGCCCACACAAATCACGCAGCAAAAATCAATACTAAAATTCTGACGAATTATTTTCCGTACATTCCTTCCATATGTATTGAAATGATGATACCTTTCTGTGATGTTTACACTTATTTATTGTAAATTCATTTTGTTCTTTGTTAAAGCCATCCATGAGTTGGCGACTTAATATTCTTATCATTGAAATCAAATTTGAATTATTTATCAAATAGCATCAAATGCTCTAGTTACGTTTCAAATCATAGTCCATGTCAACTCAATGCACTCTGCAATCGACATGGATCTGCCTTTACAGACGTAAAACTTCTCGTCAATTTATCTACCGGTATAAATTGAGCGACGACTTTTGCTGTCCTAGAGTCTCAAATTAACGCGTAATTAAACGCTTCACATAGCCTTTGTCCCTTGGAAACGTTTACCAAAGGTTATCTTGGACCGTTTGCATAGACTAATATCAGGCATTTCCATCTTGGTTGCATGACTGTTTTCGTTTTCATGTTCCTACTATTGTGATTACCGCATAATTTACGAAAAGAGCATGGTTTTTAACGAGGCGAGAACTGATAGTTATCGAAACCTATTGCTACAAATTGTTTATTATTTTAAATATGTAACAGTCTTGCACTCTTTTCCTGCCAAACCTCAATCAAAACCCACATTATATTCAGCCAGAGCTTGGCGGTGTTTAATGAAAATAAAAAATAATGAAAATAATATCGCACAGCAGAGCAGATACAATACATACAAAATCGCCACTCTCGCCAATAGTAATGATGGCAATTTGACAGATCACCATTGGTATATGTGAATCGTACTAATTCCTTTCTGAGTGAGTATTACTTTTCCTATTACAGTAATAGGTTTTTTACTTTTCCGTACACAACGTGTCAAGGGAAAGTATAGGAATTGGTCCCGAAAACTTTTTTCGCAAAATTGGTTTAGATCATCATAAAAACTCATGAAACGCGTAGAAAACCACTTTTTGAGACACTTTTCCGTTAGTGTGCCGTCGTCGTCGTTGTCGTCGTCGTAGCTGTTTGTAAACACGATAACTCAAAAAATAATTGAGATAATCAAAATCTGGAAATGCCAAAAGTTTTGTATCCGAAAAACATTAGTTTAATTCGAAGATGAGCCATTTTCGATTTGATCCTGGGGTAGTTGCCCTAAGAAAAACCTCAAAAAATTTACACTTTTGTATGGGAGGTACCCGTAAATCGACTTCGATTGGCTTCAAACTTTCTGGGATTTCATTTTTCGGAAGAAAAATAAGATTCTGAAAGTTTGAAATCAATCGGAATCTATTCACGGGTACCTCCCATACAAATTTTTTGAAATTTCGACTAAAATTACCGATTTTTTGACAATTTTGTATGGGAGGTACCCGTTAATCGATTCTGATTGGCTTCAAACTTTCTGTGGTTTCATTTTTTGGAGAAAAAATAAGATTCTGAAAGTTTCATGTTGATCGTTTGCAGAAGTTTGATTTTTTGTCCTCAATTTTTGTCGACATTTTTTTGGAAAAAAATTAAGGGCCAAAAACCAAACTTCTGCAAATGCGATCAACATGAAACTTTCAGAATCTTATTTTTTCTCCAAAAAATGAACCCTCAGAAAGTTTAAGGCCAATAAGAATCGGTTTACGGGTACCTCTCATACAAAATTGTTGAAGTTTTAGTTAAAGTGACCGATTTTTCACTTTATTTTCATTATTATATTTTCACTGCCTTTATTTCAAGAAAATTCACAAAAAATAACCAAAAGTACCTACGGACAACGAAGGCCAACGGTACGGAAAAGTTCGGGATTACCAATGTAATTCGTTTTATTGTACAAAAGTAATAGGATAAATGTAATAGCCATTACTGTAATAGCACCGCGATAGTCTCGACCATTAAACGTCAAACCAACAACGCCACACATTTTGATGGCAACTACATTGATGAGTGTATTCAATGCAGTGTCAAACATAGTCGTCATTGTGTTGTGTGGTGAAATAATGATAATTATTTAAATTTTAAATAAATAAAATTGTTTCGATTCTGTCAAATAAAATTGTGCAAATATGCCGCTGGCACACAAGACAAAAAAATTGCTTTCTTTAGGTAGATTAAACCCGTATTTAAAAAAAAAATGTTTTTCTTCCATTTTCAATTGAGTTGTATGAGAGAAAATTACGGTTTTATATGATATTTTGGTGTTTCCATAATTAAAAAACACAAAATTTTAGATTCAAAATAGAAACTGGTTCGTGGCAGAATTGTTTTTTTAATTTTACGGACCATACTGAGAGAACGCTTGCGTTCGAACAGAAAAGTACACTGAAACAGAAGTCGATTTGACATTAGCTGTCAAACCGGCAAGATGAACAAGTGCGTTTGTTAAGTGAGCGCGTTCACTCCGTGTCAGCAGGTTTTGGACGAATTTCATTTTGCAAATGATGTTGTTGTTAGTGTAATGATAAGGGTGCAGTCACACTAGGAAACATTTTACTGGAAACATGGAAACAAATTTTTGCAAATGTATGGAAAAAAAAAGTGTTTGTTTCCAGCATCTTTTTTCCATACATTTGCGAAAATTTGTTTCCATGTTTCCAGTAAAATGTTTCCTATGTGACCGCACCCTAATAATGTGTAATAGCATGTAATAGTAATAGGAAATAGTAATATATTACTCATTACTTTACTTCTATACTTTCAAAACTATTTACATGGTTGGATAGATAATCGATGGGGCTACAAAAAACTCTTGTACGACCACCCATTCGAGCCCATTCACACTCTCAAATATGGGTTCAAATTATAAAAATTGAAATATCGCAGTTGGTCAAGTGGCCGTTTTTTTTGCTTAAAACTTAGCCCACCTCGAATCCTTCAATTTAATACCCTCTCCCTGATTCAGGAGAAAATTATGTGTGGTCAAGAGTTGTCATTTTTTCGGGTATATAAATTTTTTCAAGTAAATACAATTATATTCTGACCACTACATTTTTCCAGCGTTTCGGACAGAATGTTATTACTGGTGAATGCACATGACTGTCGAACGATTTTCCATGCTGACGTCCAACTGTAGTGCTCGACATCAATCAGATGTCGCATTAATTCCGGAATCACCCATGCAGAATATGTGTTGTTCAATTGGATTATATTCTTCTCGGCGAAGTTATTGTAATCTGTGCGACCCGTATCGGTTTGTGCCACCTTTGAGCTCTTGTATCGAGCGATAATATCTTGCAGCGACACTGAACACAAGAAATATTCTTGTTTCAATCGGATTTCTTGATTTTCAGTGGCATTGGCGGCCGTTGGATACATGACACGCGTTATATTTTCCGCAAGGCATCGATCGAAAATCGCTTGAATGTAATCGCCGTTTTTGACTGCGGTATTTTGGAACGAATGGTAATAATCAGTTAGTATTTAACATGAATATTCAGTGGTTTCAGAACTTTCATCTGATTTTGTAAATTTTTCGTTACAATATGCAACCAATTTTTTTTTTTTAAATTGAACCAATTCAATGTTTGTAAATAAAATCCAAACTTACATAGTTTCAGCTTGAATCCTTCGGTGCTTTTAGCGCTCCACAGTCGCAATGTATTGACCACATTGTTCATGTATCCTGGGATGGGAAAATCGTGTGGAACAGCGTAAACAACTTGTGTGTCGACCCATTCGCGACCGATGGGAGTATTGGCGAGACGTCCGTAAAAGTGAACGGGAAACAAATATTCCGGTCGAGCACGTTCCCATGGATTGCCTAAGCGAAGCCAATCGTCAACGTCTTCGTGTTGTTCACCATCGATAATTCGTTGTGTAAACGCTCCTGCATTGTACCGAATACCGTAACCATACGATGGAATGCCAAGCGATGCCATCGAATCCAAAAAACAAGCCGACAAACGTCCCATGCTGCCATTGCTGAAATGCAATTCACCCTCCACTGCCTCCAGCTCTTCGATGTCCAAGCCCAATTGATACATAGCCTCATCACACGCATCTTCTATGCCAATGTTAATCATATTGTTTTGCAAAAAACGTCCCATATTATATTCCATTGACAAATAGTACACACGCTGCAATCCAATTTTTGAATCGAAAAATTAGACAAAAAAACACACCGAAATTTTTTTTTGCAATACTACAAATCGGCTTTGGTCGTTTTGGAATGTTGTTCGCTTACTTACCTTTGGGTCACGTTGATAGCTCAATTGCTGTGTGCGAATCCAGCTCGAAACGATGTGATCCTTAACAGTCGCATATTCTTCACTTCCATATAAAAGTCATGTGTGGTTGCAATATTTCGATCTTTTATTAGCGTATAATGCAAATGACGATTGAAACCAGCCTTGATCTCGTTCACATTTTCCAGCTGCGCAATACCACGGACACTGATTTGCTTCTGTTTTTCATTTTTGAAGACATTATCGTTGTCGTCTTTGGTTGCTTTTACCGAACCATTACCCATTTTGCTAGACATTTCAGTAAATCACCAACCGAAAAGAATGTGCGAAAAGTTGAACAAAATCGGATGTTTTGAAATGGTGTTCGAAATTGAAAATCTAAACCAACAATAACTACAATGCAAATTGACTAAAAAAAGGAAAGAATTTGATTTAAAATCCAAGTGGAACAGAAAATGATACAAAATATAGAAATTTAGGAATGCATACGACAACGACAAAACACCGACTGATGCGCGTCGCTTTGTGCAATTTGGTTTCACATCAACACTCACTTCACCAGCCTATTGTCTCTTGGCAAAACCGTTATCTCAAAGCAGTGTGGTTGTTGGTGCAATTGCGTTTGACGGTGAACTACGTACTTGTCTACCAAATCTATCACACAACCACCTTACGAATGAGACAGAGGAAAAAACCAAAATTGCTGACACTTTAGTGCCGAAAAATCAGTGCATAGTCGAAACATTTAATTGTTTTCATTAAATCTCGAACGAAAAACGTTGTTTTTTTTATTTTTTCTGTTGTTGAATGGATTTGGCATCACTTTTGATTCATCGTTATTTTCGCCGTTGCTGATCGCTCGGGATTTTTAGATTAAAATTTTGTCCATTGCTCTTCATTACTCTACTGTGTAAAGTAATAAAAGGTAATATTATATGTATGTGTATACACCGTAATTCAGAATAATTGCCGGATACAATTTTAGCTAGCAAAAATTAAATATTATGATTGAGACTCAGTAGTGAAAATGTGACATTTTTCAAGTAATTCAAATCTCTTTCAAATTTTCCAAATGGGAAAAGTTAAACAGAATTTCTATGTGACGCTGCAAAACCTTTTGAATCAAATTGATCATAATTGATGATTTACGCTCTAAAGTTGAACCAGAAGTAATTCTGCGCCACTCTGGTTCAAGTTTTTTAGTTTTACTGTTATTGAAACGTCAATTGATTTTTTTGTTGAAAAATGTTCGAAATATCATTTCAGCTTGATCGAAAAATGGGTTCGCTTGAAGAGATTCTACCTACCTTGCGAGTTTGGAAGTGTTGGGTGTGCGAAAAATTCTTTCAAGAGGGGGAACCAAAAAGGATATTCGATGGCTGTTGGCATTCGTTTCATGTAGCTTGCGCAACGAACATTGCTATATGAATGTCCATATGGGCAGTGTAGTATGTTAAGTTTCCTTATGCCAACGAATGTAAATCATTCTAATAGTGATCCAAACCCCGGTATTCCAAATGTTTGATATTGGCCTAGTTCGTGTTGAAACATTCAAAAACCTGATTTTGGTTTCCTTTAAATAAATCAGAATTTTAATGCTTGTTCCATTTGATTCTTATTTGTTTCTCTCATATGTTAGTGTTTTTTTTTTACAAAAGTTGCAAAATATTGACTTCATCATGGTTATCATCATTTAATAGGACAAAATGACATCTAACACCTTTCTTAAGTCTGAATATTACAATTAAAAAGAATTTCGTGAATTTTTTTTTGTTTATTTGTTTCTTTAAATAATAAATCGCCAAAAGAATGGGTGGGCTGCACTTAACAATCCAAGAAATTGGCTGCCATCAACAGTTCCAAGGCAATTTCAGGTGCAATGGGGAACTCAGGTATTTCCGTCGAACTATTTGTGTATCGAACTTTGTATGTGAAATACATGCACACCTTTTGCAACACGTGAGATGGAATCTCACGAAAGTTCACTTCGTTGGCTTCATTCTCGGCGAATTGACCTGGTCCAGATAACATAGCTTTGATTGTGCCCGATGTCAATGCATGCTCCCGTTTCACTGCATTTGATTGAAAGAGAAAAAAAGAGAATAGAAAACCAAATCATTAGACAAATTCATCAACAAAATCGTTCCCGCTCAAAAAAAAGAATAAAAAACCAGGTTAAAAATTTTTGCGTTGACAGTAAATAAACAAATGGAGATTATTCTTAGCCAAAATAAGCTTTTCATGTTGAGTGATGAAAGAATAAAAAAAAGCTACATGGTGCACGCCGTTTCGGTGTGATATATCTTAAACAAATACGAATGGCAATTGCGCTCCGCATATATTTACAAAGCGCAGCACATTGTGTATTCGTCTGTCACACATCAAAAAAAAAAAAACAAAATAATAAGACGGCGGCGGCGATCCAAGGTACATACCAATAAATTCATGTCCATCGGATGAAATGAGTTTCACGTACATGGCATCTGGGCCCTCGCAGCCGCCGAATACCTTTTGTGATGTTTGTTCCTCCATTGGTTGAGACATTGTTAATGCTTGCCACCGGTGCGTGTATTACAATCAAATTCTTTTTTTCTCACTCAAAACAAATCGCAAATCGACAAAACACACTTCTCGCTTTCGTTTCGATTCTCAGTCAAACCTTGGCACTTTTGCTTTATTCGTGTGGATCGGGGCGTCTCGTGTACGGAATTTCACCAGAAAAACACAATTCGAATCGAAAATTATACAAGAAAAGGGAAAAATAAAGACTTTTCTCCTTTTTTGTGTGTGTTTGCCAACGCTAAGTACACCTAATTTCGTGTTGGCCTTTGTTTTTCGCTTCAATAAAGTGTAATGCTGTGTGTATGATGATGACCTTTGACAGTACTTTGCCGATGACAAATGCAAAACTACTATCTTTTTCGTTTGATTTCTCAATCAACTCTCGTAAAAAACGACTGTAATGTACATGTCAAGCGTCGACCAATCGGGTCTCGATAGGGACGATCGCGGCACCAAATTCAAATGATGATTTAGTACGACAAAATTGAAAGCAATTTTTTGTGTTAAAGAGATAATAACCGTGAAAATATTTGGAAAAGACTATGTAAAAGATGAGTTCATTTGGAATTAATCATAGGAAAAAACAACTTGAATTACCATTTCAATCAAGAAAGATTATTTCCCCACGAATGTCGATTTTATGCCGTGGCGCTGCAAACGGTGTTAGTCGCTTCAATCACTCTGCACCACTCTCAATACGGCAGTTGTCAAACAATGCTACACTCTTTTCATGTAAATTATGTGCAAATGAAAAATTCTTGTTTGAATATGAAGCAAAGAAGTTTGACCGAATATTAGTTGAACACAAACAGTGATTCGGTGATTTGGGTTTTGTCAAGCAAATTGTGATATCAATTCGGAAACAGCGACTTAATTTCAATTGTAAGTGATTTGCGTTTACAATAAACAAAATGCAATTTATTTCGAGTGCCAAAAAAAGTTGATCTATTCTCTAGTATACTGTCGACATTGAGTACATGTAAATGCTAACCTCAAAATGGGCCTTTTTTGTCTTGTTGTTTCGAAACAATTTTTTTTTCATTCATATTGAATCCATAGCATGTTTTTTTAAACTGTTCACAATTCATATTGCTGAGTAATGGAATTAAAATTAATTTAATGTTTTTCTTCGATTTTCCTTTTTTTCTAAATTTTAGCTGCACTTCGAAACGGAATTACTGTATTTGCATTCTAGTTTCGATTTTTAGACGCGCGAACAATATCTTTGACTAAACCAGCTGATTGGGAAATTTTTTGGGAATCCATTTGAAAAATCGACTCAAAAGAGAGATGCTACGTCCATCTGCTTTCCAGAATAATGGCAACTCTGAGACCGCGTCATCATCCAAGTCCATTTTAAGACCATCATCGTTTCAATTGGCACCGAGTAATTTAGCAGCAGCGAATAATTCCAATAACAAAAGTGAATGCAGCGATGAGCCCAGCACCACTTCACACTCCGATTCACCATTTGAACTGAAAGAGGAAAAGCAATCTACGAGCAGCAGTACATCGAATGAAGCAGAAGCAGCGGAAGCGGCAGCCACAACAAAAGAAGATGATTCCAAAATTTCGAGCACAACCAGCAACGATGGCGAAAACAATGGTGAAAATAGTGATGAATCAAAAGTGATACCAAATCCATTCAACAACGTAAAAAATGCCGAAATCGGAGATGATGACACCGACGCAACATCGAAACCAGCTGCCGATGACAAAACAAAGTCACAGACCGCAGACAAAAAGTCCGATTTTTCCGGTGGAAATAATCTGTTTGCGTCCAACACAAACAACACAAAGAATTTGTTTGCAGCGGCCGCATCGCATTCACCATTCTTAGCGGCAAATAACAGTAGCAAAGAAAACAATTTCGTATTTGGTCAAAATATTCATGAGCGTATTGTTGGTGTACCGGACACAAGTGTGTCGAGCGTATCGAGTGCGGATGACAATCAGAGCGATTCATCGAGCGGTTCAAAGTTGTTTGCTGTGAGCAGTGCGTCGACGAGCGAAGCAGCAGCGGCCGGTAGTTCGACAAATGGTGCCGAACCAAAAGAAAGTAGCACCGTGGAGGATTTAACAAAAGTGGCCCGAGAATATGAAGAGAGCCGAGCACAGAAGCGTAAATTGGATGCAGTCGAAACGTTCACCGGTGAAGAGGATGAAATTAACGTTGTGGACATGAGCTGTAAGCTGTTTGCATTTATTGCATCGAATTGGGAACAACGTGGACCGGGTGGACTGCGTTTGAACGATGTCAAAGCATCGGCCGAAGATGCCAGATCTCGGGTCGTTTTTCGTACATTGGGCAATTTCCGTGTTTTACTTAACACAAAAGTATGGGGTGGAATGGTTGTGGAAAAACCCAGTCAAAAAAGTCTTCGACTTACGGCCATCGATTCAAATGACGGTTCGGTGAAGATATTCCTGGTGATGGCACGACCCGATGATATCTCCACACTTTACAAAGAGCTAAAGAAACGAATTGAAACCGAACGAAAGCGTGAAAAAACCGAAGAATCAACATCGTCTGAATCGAATACCTCAAAAGGTAGCCATCACGGAGCCACCATCGCCGGTGCTGAAGAGCCAGACACGAAAAAAGACCGAAAAACTTAAATCAACATGCAACACGCTCTTTGCACTGCAAAACCAAAACAACTCAAATTCAAGTTTTGAAAATCATATAAATTACATTAGGTCCCGAACGCCAATAGCCAAACACAAGATACAATGTATCGATGAATTCTATTCTGCAAAAAAAAACACTTCAACTACAATCACACATGTGCGCTTGCACGCTCAACTGCTAATCAATACGGAATTTCGCAAAGATGAAATTCGGCCCTCTTTTTGCAACAAAAATAACAAAAATTATTACTACAAATTATACGAAAATATAGTTCTTTGTAAGTTTTCGACTGGAGCTCATCGCTTTTATTCAAACTTACCTTCATTCATGATTGAATCAATCGCTTCTTTGATGCGACACGAAAAGAAAGAAGAAAAAATCAATACATAAAAATGCCAATAAGATTGGATATGCAATTGCAGTAAATCTATTCCGAAACAATCTAATATTGGCATCTGAGTCGCTTTTTGGTAAGCAACAACAAAGTAATTAATTAAATCCCTTTAAATCTTTGTACAATTTTTACAATAAATTTTCATCAAATTTAAACAATAAACATGAAGTTAAGAAAAAATAAAATATACCCGATGTGTTTGTTGTTCATGTTTCCTTCTAAAGCCTTTGCGGATGATGCAACCATATGCGGCAATGAATGAAGCGACAAAGCCAGCACCAACTAATTTGCATATATGTTCAAAAAGGAATTCATCCATATGAGAAAAAAGTATACGAAAAAAAACACAATAAAAACATTCAAACCATTTTGTTTCGTATGAAAATATGAGAATTTTTATTATAATTTGTTGGTATTTCTCTACGATTGCGAATATCAGGTGTATCCGCCCCATGGAAGAATGTTTAATCTTGTTCGAAGTACATGTCCAATAATTCTGGTTTGCACAATTGGTCACCTTCTAAGCGTTTTGCTTTTTCATTCCAATTGATTAACGTTGGAATGACGCTAAGGTGTGTGTTACGGTCCAAGCGAAACGAGTTCTTCATGTCTTTCCACCTAAAGAAAAGCGACAATGCGAAGAAAAAAAAGGTTGAAGAACCGCTCTAAAACGTCAACAACACTATTATCTACGAAACTTACGTTGGACGATCGCCGACATCGACAATAACAAAGAGACTGTCTGGTGCCGCATTGTCGATGCCATATTTTTTCACAAATGGTTCAGCTACAAAGTAATTCAATTAGATTCAAAGTGTGACCTTATTTTTTGTTATCAAAGTTTTTGTTTTACCATCATTGCAATCTGGACACCATGAATGACCGGTTTCATCTTTTTTTCCTGTGAATAAAACGTTCACATTCTCAGCTGTTTTGGCTAATTTTCCAATTGATGCAACGAATTCATCGTATCCGCAAATTTTCTCTACTTTAGCCACCATATTTCAATTTTCAAACTTCAATTTTTCCGCTTCCAAACAATGACACAGGCCAATATCATACAATTCTTATCTAAATGACTTGTGAATTGCCTTTGATTAATGTTTTCAAACGAAACAACTACAAATAAAAAAAATTTATGTGACGGCAATAAATGTCAAACAATGTTATTTGACTCGATGCGTCAACGACAGCTAGCGTTACTTTCTGCAACTAGGTTACATTGAGGGCTACGGATAAACATCTATCGCTCTTACTCTCAAGAGTCCAATTATGATACATTGTAAGGGAGAACAAAACCAAAGTAAAGAAAAAAACAACCATCACTTTTATACTATGTATTTTTATTTGTTCTTCTCTATACATTTAATGCATGTTCATGATAGCGATAGGATAAAGTTTTAGCTACACTCTTGTTTTTTTTCTTCTTTTGTTTAGCATCATCCTTCATGCTCTCGTTACCTTCGTGTTCATTTCATCCTCATCAATTTGTTTTTTTATTTATTTTCAATATTAGTTTATGCACTAGATTTTACTTAAATTCATTACCATTTGAATAAGTTTTTTTTTCTTCTCTCTTTTTCTCTTTCTCTCTTTCTCATTCCTGTACATTTCTCAATATAAATGTACCATATAATAGATGAATGTTTTGGCTATAATTTTGTTTATCGTGTGTTTTGTTTCTTTTTTTTTGTATCTCCATTTATTTATTAATTTTTTTTAAATAATTTTCTTTTCTTGTTAAATAATAGTTCTCAAATGTATTCTCATCATTAAATTTCATAATAATTCGTGTTGCTTTTTGTTTGTTACTTTGTAAGAACACCAATGAAATAGTAAATTGTTTTTGTTTAAATTTTATTTTGCGAGATTTTCACGAGTGGTGTTTACTTGGTTTTTTTTGTATCATGTTTGTTGTTAGTTATTGTTTTGTCATATAAATATTGTGAAAGTCTACAATCTAAATGAAGTCATTAATATCAGATGATGCGAATATGTTGTGTTGTTTGTTGATTTCTTCTTCTTTTTTTCATTGGATTTGCGACGAGATGTTTAAAGAGAATTTTCGTGTAGCAGTTGAAACTTGCATATATTTTCAATTTTTTTCTTTTTGCAATTGTATTCCGTTGTGTGTAGATCTTTCTCTATGTCACTGGATTGTTTTTCTTTTTTTTGTATTTTCATCTATTTATCTGTTGCATCAATTTTCTTTGTGTTCTTGATCGCAAGAGGATTGTTTCATTTTGTGTATCAATTATTATAAAAGTTAATTAAATTCACGTATATTGTAGTATTGTTTCATTGCATTTCGAATATGAAATGTTCACAGGAAAAAATAAAGGAGGAATTGTCATAATAAAATAGCTACGATAAAAAAAAATATTTATACCATAATGAATAATGATGAACGACTGTTGCACAATTTGATTTTCAAAAACAATTTCTTTTTTCCATCCGTCTTTCATTACTTCTCTACTGAATTCGGTTCAAACAAAAAGTGGTTTGCTCGATTGGCCGAAAATGGCCAAACAAACAAAAATTAAGAGATGATTTCTAGACGCATTAATTATAATAATAATATTTATATCCACAGAATTTATAATCAGAGCAGAATCGGGGGGGCAAAACAATAAAGTCGCAATAGAAAACAATTCTTTCTTTCTTCTTTTCTATTAGTATATTTCTCTCTAGCTCTCCCTCCCTCTCTCTCTCTCTCTCTCTCTCTCTCTCTCGCTTTCTGTCCCAGTGTACGCGTGTTTGCCATTCATTCATTCGTGAACTTAGATAAATACTTTTGCTAAAGCATCAGCACCAGCGCTAGCGATGTATGGACGTGATGGATGAAATGCAACATCGAAAATGCTCTCGTCAAATTTCTTTCGGTGAGCGGTGATCTCCTGCACACACGTTTTATTATCAAAATTCCATAGCCGTATCGAACAATCATGCGAACCGGATAATAAATAGAGTCCATGGGCATCGATTGCCAAACTAGTTACCGGTTCTAAATGAGCAACCATTGAATGTAGCTGCGCACCAGTTATATTATCCCAGAAACGAATGTGACGATCTTCGTGCGCTGTTATTGTTACGGGTAGTGTTGGATGGCAAACCACTTTGTTTATGAATTTACCACCATTGCCATTTGTTTCTTGTGTGGTATCAAATTTGACTACGATTTTGCCACTTTCTGTGTCATAGATGATGCAGGCGCCGTTATTGTATGCCACCACTATTCGGTCGGGTTCATCGCGAACAAAATCTATTGATGTTGGTGTTGCATCGGTTTCGGTGCCGGTGATTGTGTTGAGTAATGTTTTTGGTGACCATAATTTTACGGTGCCATCGGCTGAACACGATGCTAAATGGCCTTTGTCTGGATTAAAAGCCAATCCCCAGACGGCATCTGTGTGACTGGTGAGCGTTGAGTGCAACACAGATTCGTCATAACTATCATATGGATCGATATTCGAGCCGGGTATGTTCCAACAGATGATCGTACCATCCAAACCGCCCGAGAAGCATTGCTCGCCATTCGATGACATTGCCAGACATAGTACTGGCGATGTATGTGCACGGAACGTATATAGTGGTTCGACGTCTAAGCCTGTGGTTTTTTTGGTGGGCGCAGTTTTATGCAAATTCCACAATTTCAATGTGTGGTCCTCGGACGCGGTCACTAAAACCGAGTCCTGTGGATGAAATACTAGTGCACGCACGCCATCGAAATGCGATCGAAGTGTGTATTTGGCATTCCATGTTTTCCTATACGATGAATCTTTAGCGTTGCCCACATCGTAGGCAGTTTCTGCATCATTGTTCACGGTCAATTGTGCTAGCTCACCCAAGCCAAGCGATGCGTCGATATCATCATCCTTAACACCACCCAACGATCGTCTCACATCGTTTGAAAATGTTTTGCCCGGTGCATTAGCGTCTTCGCCTTCGGTGAGTGAATTTAATTCGTTCAACACTTCTTCAGCTTCAGCATCAACATCTATGGAAATAAAATGATTGCGAGTGATTGAGCAAATAGATTGGAAAAAGTGGTGCTTTTCTCGTACAACATGTTTATGAATTTCTTGTGAATGAAATTATAATAATGGGATGTCGGATGTGTGTTTTGGAAATGAAAACTTACCATCATGCATAGTGATTCCTTTGGCTTTGCGTTTCGTGGTTTTAACATCGCTTTCATCGCCTACGACCATATCCAAATCATCGGATATGCCATCATCGTCTGACATCTCAACGTCGGCCGTGCCCAGAAATTCAAAATTGGCCATAACTGCTGCCTCTGAATCGAGTATCATTGCTTCTGCCATTGATGCTTGCTGCTTTTTCGCTGGTGTTCGTCGTCCCTGTGAATCACTAGCGCGCTTAGTACCTTCGTTAGCGATTACATTTGGATTAATGTTTTCCTCTTGCTCTGAACCGTTGGTCAGACCGAGCAACGAGCGTACACGGTTTGAACGCACATCAATGATGGTGTCGGTGTAGCCAATCTCTTGTAAATATGAACGTAATAGCTGCCTGCCCTGTCGCCAGGTTACATTTGACACTGAACTGAATGGAGCTTCCGAATCGGGTGCAACTTCATTTGTGATGTTCGGCTCATCGGCCGGTGCACTGACTTCACTCAGCGATGGTGGATCGCAACCGTATTTCATACGATGGACTTTAGCGCGCTCTTGAACCAATGCATACTCTAACATTTTGATGCGGCGAATTAAATCGGATTTAAGTGATTCTTGACCTTTGCGTTCACCTAATAGTACGGCAATTTTTGCTTGTAATTCCGCTCGATCCACATCCCATTGCGATCGCTCGATTTCGAATCGTGAAAATTCGTGCTGGATGAAATGAAGCACACCCGGAATGGTGTAAATTTGCTCATGGGAATTTGCGTTATTTGATCCATCGCCTTGCTTATTCAATCCTCCAATTGAATTGCCGCCGCCTAATTGTGATGAATTCGTTACACCGCCTAGTTGTGCCGAGCTATCATCCATATTTACGTCAATTTTGCCCTGTATCGTGGTCGTCTCTTCGAGCCTTGCAGCTACACCAAGATAAGCAAGTATCAATTTCACTCACACTGGATTCGCGTCGTTTGTTTTATTTTTTCTCTCACTTCCTCACACACATACACTCCACTCCTGTACGTAACTAAAATAAAATTTTCTCTCCGGATAAAATGATGGTTTGGGCAGCTCACATTAATGCGATAAAATGCTTCGATTGAGGTTTCAAATGATTATTGAAATAGGCATTTGACTCGGAAATTATGCATTCGTTGTGACGGTGAAAAAAAACTTTTTTTTTGCTTGCTTTGCTCCGATTCGATGGTCCACTACAGATGCAATTTGACAACTACGCTCACAAATGCAAATGGACTTGGTAAACAAGTATTTATGGAGATAATTTCATGTAATCGAATCTCGTATTTTTTGTTGTTTTTTTTCGCTTCGGTCGCCTCCAATCGATGAAATGCACTAATTTCGCTTTGTTGTTGTCGATGACAAATTAAAATAATAAAAATAACACACGATGAAAACCACACCTAAACTTATAACAATACTTTCTCTTCACTGCTTTCAACCAAAATGGTGAGAAGAAAAAAAAAACAAGGTACGAGTGGTGTTTCGGTGCCAATGAAAGTCAGCGTATATAGCCAATCCAATCAGTCAGATTTCATGAACTAAAAAAATGGTATATCTGGCGCTGGACGTCTCTCTTTTGTCCGCATTTAGCAATTCACAGCAAATTTTCCGCAGTTCACCATTTAGCGAAACGCGTTCATCACTTGATTTTCTCCACGACAACAAATTTTTTTTCGCTTCAATCGACAATTTTCTGTGATACGATTTACAAATAACACGAACCCAAGCCCACAGTCCGATTCTTATGTCTTTGTTATTTTTTTTTCTCTCTCTCTTCAGAATGATTGAATCCTTTGCAGAGCAGACATTTTTTTTGACTAGCACACAGAGAGAAAAAAAATCAAGATGGCCACTGCTTCTCGTGTATGGAGTTTGATTCGTGACCTGTGTACACTTCGTCAGACACTCGCGGAATTCGGAATCAATATATTCAATGCCTTGAACTGTCAAAGTCGTTCGAACTGTCACTCTGTGTAGCTGTCTTCGACCGAGAGCGACGAACTACACAAAATACACACAGACTGCAATTGAAAATGTTTTCGCTGGCGTGTAAAAGAATTTCCAATTTAAATCAATTGCAAAAAATTGCTTCATCCAATTCGATAGGTGCAATTAGAAATTGCTCTGTCGTTGACAATACACCAAGAGATGAAGAAAAAGGTAATTGCATTATTTGTGTGTGTGTGGACAAAGTGAGGTTAGGTTTTTACACTGTGAAAACTAAAATTCAAATGCAATTTTTGGAATTTTTTTGTTTATAGAATTTCGGGTGTTGAACTTGAATCCAACAAAAGATGCCGATATCATACGGAGACGAAGACAATTCAATGCCAATATCACGGATCATCGGTATGTACTCTATTGTCTCGAACATTTTTCAATGTGAAACTGATTCCACCTACATTGATTAACAGATCGAAAAAGATGAGCGTGAGGCAGAAATGGGGCAATGTGTGGCCAGGACCAAGATCGTTTCATCCATCAACGGTGCCACTTCCGATACGTCAAGGATATCTTGTTCCGAAAGACAATAAACGGCCAGCACCTGACAAGTATGCCAACGCTGAGCTTATGAAAATTCCCAACTTTTTGCATTTAACACCGCCAGTCATCAAGCAACAGTGCGAAGCGATCAAAAAATATTGCACTCCATGGCCGGCTGGTGTGGAAACAGACGAAAAATGCGAAAAACACTTTCCAATTGAATTCATTTCAACCGATTACTGTCACGGTTTGCCAACGATTCGCAACCCACTATCACGGATTATATCACTTCGCGTAAGTTGATCATCCATATCATAACTTCATGTGAAAAAAAAACTCAACAAATTTCTCTTCTTGCATTAAAGTTCAAACTGTCTTCGTTGCCCCTGGACACGCATGCAAAAGACAAATTCCTACGATTGGTCGACAATCGATACGATCCAGAAACAGATATGGTTACCATAACCGTCGACCGTTGCCCGACGCGCAAACAAAATTTTGAATATGCACAATACTTGATGACAGCCGTATTCCACGAGTCATTCATTGTTGAGCCATGGGAATCGCTAAAAGTTGAAGCCGACATGGAATATTACGATTGGCAAAATAACAAGTCCAAAGAAACCACCGAAGCGATATTGAAATGGGGAAAGCCAAGCAATGAACCAATCAAATCGACCGATGGTTTTGCCGAGAGTGTCGAGAGAATTTTCAATGAAGGCGAAAACGAACCAAACCTTCAACAATACAAAGAGGAAACGCTGAAATTGTTAGAGTTAAAAAATTAAGAATAATTAGCAAAAAATTCTGTTTTTGTGACCAATAAACGTTTTAATGAAATTGCTCGGCCGTTTTAATAGTACTACAAATTGTTTTTTGACACTTTGACGCAACATAACCTCAAAATCATTATTTGTTTACATCAACCTCGCAAGACAACTGAAACAGTAGAAGCTTATATTTGTATCGGGGAGAATATTAAATAAAAAAATGTCAAATTTAGAACTGAAAACGACGGTAGATTGTAAGCAGGGATCAGTGAGAGCGGTACGATATAACGGTAAGCATTTGTATTTGAAAAAAGAACTTAATTCCCAAAATTAGATGTTAGAGCGGCTTTTAAACGTTTACATTTTCATATTGCAGTCGATGGTTCGTATGCAATTACATCAGGATCGGATAAGAAAATCAAACTCTGGAATCCACAAACGGGTCTAATGCTTAAAACATACGGAGGACATGCAAATGAAGTGACAGATGCCATCGGCAGCTGCGATAGTTGCCACATATTGAGCGCTTCACTAGACAGATCAATTATTTACTGGGATGTGACCACAGCTCAACCACTGCGTCGGTTGCGCTGTCATGCTGGTGGTGTGACTTGTGTGGCATTCAGTGAAGATTCAAATGTGGCTTTATCAGGTAATCATTTCGCATTTCAACTCTTTTTTCAATGATCTAATCGATTCCGGGTTGAAAACGACTTTTCAGGTGCTAAGGATAATTTAGTGATGTGTTGGGATATTCGCACTCGAAAGTTGGAACCAATTCAAACGATGAACGAAGCAAAGGATTGTATCACAAGGATCATTGTAAATGAATTTGAAATTTTGGTTTCGTCACTCGACGGATGCATAAGACGATATGATTTGCGAAAGGGTGAACTAACTTGTGATGATGTCGGCGAACCAATTGTTTATATGGTGAGATTTGTTGAGACAAAACCACCAAGATAGTGGAAATACTGACATTTGCGTTCATTCTTAGGCACAAACAAAAGACACCAAATGCACTCTGGTCGCATGCAGTGATAATGTACTAAGACTATTAGATAATGATAATGCCGAATCACTGGCTACCTATCGTGGACACAGAGCTGATGATTTCCAAGTTGAATGCGGTATTTTAAGTAACGATTCGCAAATCGTGTGTGGATCTTCGAACGGAGAAGCGTTCATTTGGGATTTGGTGGACGAAAAAGTTATTTCAAGGCTGTCAATAGGTAAGTATTGCCGAAAAAACAACAAATTCAAATGATGAAAGTAAATAACATTTGCTTTTATCCGCAGGCTCCGGTGTAGTGCATTCATTGACTACACATCCAACAACCGACGACATCATGTTCGCCAATAAAAGAGAGTTTCAACTATGGGGACCGATAGACTAATTCCAGTATTTTTCAAGAGAATATTGAGAACTTTTTATTTTTTAAGAGAATTTCAACAACTGTTTCATTATAATAATAAATCATTCGAAAAAAAAGATATGAAAAAGAGACAATTGAATATTACGGTTGTTCAACATCTCGAATTCATTTACGAGAAGGGAAAATGGTGGAGAACTCGCCTCTGTAAAGGCCTTTCAGAGTTTTGTGAATGTTCCAATCAACGACCACTTTCAATATTTTATTCACACTCGTTTGATCTGGTGTCATGCCCAATTCTTTGCACAGCTTGTTGTTGAAGGTTTTCCTGCAAATAAATCCGGCTCATTATTCACCATAAACACAGTGTAACAAAGTAGGGCGCAACTCGCCACTGAAAGACTCTATGCATTAAAATCGTATCGTCAGTCTACTCAGTTGCGGTGTTCTTCAGATTCAATTTGATAAACTTAAAATCATCGATTTTTAACTTAATTTCTCTCAATTTGACACATAGCATGATTTTTAGGATGGCTCTCCAAATTTAACAAAGTTTGTGTAATTTGATGCGACTCTTTTCTGAATTTTAATCTGTCGACAGTTGGTGGGTATATTTGACATTTTGCCTTCACACATTCAATGTACAGCTTGACATAGTAAACTAATTGTAGCTTAAGTGATCTCATTTTATAGCTACATCTTTCAGATTCATGGTACATTTTTTTGCTTATAAGTCATTCAGTCGATGACATCGACTTGAAGTGAGAAATTAACATGGATAAAAATGTCAAAAAGAGCGCAGATCGACAATTTTCTTGCTATTTTGCATTGAGCACGAACCATACCGCGATTGAATATTCACAGATTAAAAATCATAGTGTGTGTTAAATCTCTTCAAAAAAAACCTAACTTAAAATTATACATGATTTAATTTATTTCAAACTCACTCAGTTGGATTCTCCCAAAAATGAACCTCATTGTACGATTTGGCCACCTTTCTCGTTGCTTCAATTATTTTACAAGCGTTTCCAAAGTTGTTGTCAAACGACATTTCTCCGGCTATGGAACAAACAATGCACAATGATTAAATTGAATCAAAAGTTTAGTTGAAAGTTAAAAAAAGTGATAAAAACCCATACTTATTCAGTCAAAATACGGTTCCAAAATGTTTTTTTCTTCCGTTCAATGATGCGTGTGTGAAAAATATGTCTTTTGCGCGTACTTTGTCTTGATTCCGCCAAACACTTTGTTGTTTCGAGTACAATCGTTGTGTAAGCGCTGTTGTGTCTACAAAATTTATTCTATTTTCCATTCAATTGTGATAATAATCAAAAGAAAATAGTTTCACTTGAATTGTGCGTTGTTGGTTCTTTCCAAAGAACGTTCCAGTCAAATTACATTGACAATATAAGTGTTGTTGCACTTATGATTTGTAGCCGGCAAAATCCCAGCAACAATTCTTCACAGTAAACAAACAGTAAATTGTCCATCTAATAACAATCATCTCATTGTTCATGCTGCTGATGTCAACTCTCTCTCTGAGTAAATGAGCAGAGAGCACACAGTTTTCATAAGTATGCAATGGCACATGAAGTAGAACCCCCTTTTTTCAATAATAAATAAATGGAAACAAAAATAATAAAAATGGATCGAAAGCAAAAACACAGCAAAGATTTGATTTGAATTTGATTTGAATTTGAAAATTCGAAAACGCAATATTTTGTGACGACAATTGAACGCATCCACTCGGTCAAGGAGAAGTGAAATCGAAGCGACGCATTCATTCCATTCTGACGTTTCATCCAGTGACGATACTAATGGTTTTGTTTATTTTGCTCTCATCAACATCTGTCCTCAAAATGTTGATGGAATACGGTATATTTCGTGATCAACATGCAAGTGAATAATTCCAATCAAACTGTTAATCGCTGGAGTGAAGCACCGTGTTCGATTTAAAGTGCAAATTTGCATAGTATCCGGTGAAATAGAGTGTACAAAAGACATTGAGTAAACCATAAATTTTTTGGATAAAAAAAACACTGCGTATTTGATGTGTGTGTGTTTCCTTGTCGTGCTTCCTACATCCTTCTCACTTGCGCCACCGTCAATATTTACATAGTTCGCGCGACATATTTGACTTTGTAACACCAATACAATCACAGTGGATATTCGCGAATATTGCGCGCATCGGCATAACAATTGAAACGCACACTTGCCCGCACACATACATACGTGCACGGGACGATGTGAAACGTGTTCGGATACGGCGTTTAGAAAAGGAAACAATAAATTATACGCAGTTAAATTCAGCAGGCAATAACATCGTCGTCATCATCATCAACATCATCACCACCAAATCGTATCGGCACGCAATTTCGACGGATGCGCTTCACTGTGTATCCGTGTGTGTTTGTGTGCTGTTTTTGTTATTTTTTCATTTCTCTGTGATTCATTTCGCAAGCGTGTCATGTTAATGTAGTTGAGCAAACAAAAGCATATACACATACGCATCTTGCTCGGTGCAGAGCATAAAAAGATTTTTTTAATGCGTCATACAGGTGCAAGTTGAATATAGTGTAAAACGCAACGGAGAGGAAGAGAGACATCGACTAAAGGCAAGGATAATAGTATAATAATCATAAGACGTGTAAAATAATTGCCACTGTGTCCCCGTGAATGCATACACACACACACACAGAGAGAGAGAGAGAGAGAGTGGGCAAGCGAGAGACTTTGGAAAATTAAAGACGTTCGAAACGCGAAACTAAAAAACAAAAGGAATCGGCCAACTAGTCGAACCAGCGCACGGCAAAACGAAACAGAGTGGAAAAGAGAGAATTAAGAGAAGAACGTACGCATAACATAAAACATTGCATAAAACAACGACGACATAACAAGGAGAACCAGAAGGCTTTTACCATACGAATGATCGTATAAAACGTAGCAACGGTGAACGAGCGACAGAGCAAAACTGCAACTCGATTAATGGCATCAAGCAATAGCGAAAAAGTGCAGCACTAAATAAAAACGCGAATCAAATGAAAGACATACACACACGAAACAAAAGGCAGCAGCAAAAGCGGCAGCAGGCAAAGAGGCGAACAGCGACAACAAGAAGAAGCACAGTGCCAGCATTCATCGAGTGCATCAAATAAGTGAACTGCATTTCGATACATTCAATTCAAGTGGTTAACTCGTGAAGTTTGCGCGCGCTAAAACACGGATTGTTTCTAGTTCTCTCTGTCGAGCAAAACAACAAAAAAAAATTGGAAGAAAGAAGAAATAATGTCGGCCTCCACATCAACATCATCATATCTTGCTGCAGTCGCATCTCGTCCACCAACTCCATTTAATTGTGATGACGAAATTGTGAAATTGTTTCCATTAAAAAGTATTTCGGATGTGGTACGTTTGTTTCAAGTGCATTTGGAAACGGCAAAAGAGCCCGATTTAACGTTGCTCTCCATTGTGACGGGCATCATTGAAAATACATTGACTAGTCATGAGTTGACAGGCAAGTGCAATGCAAACTCATTCGCAGCCAACGCTGACACTGCAACATTGAACAATAACAATGCAGAACCAACGAATAACAACAGCAGCAGCACCGCTGTTGACGCTTTGACCGAAACCAAAACCAAGGTCAAAGTGGAGGAGTCAAGCAATCCAATTGACACATCAAATGCAATCGGATGCAGCAATTTTCCCGTGGTGACATTTGAAACGGTTAAAAATTTGTACGAAAAATTCATTAAAATCATTTCATTGATTGGACCGTGTAAACGCATCGGCGCAAAAGAGGTGAAAAAATCCAGCCGCTCAAATGCAACAACAACACCTGTCTACGCAACAAGGGAAATTATTAAGCAAGTTTCGGATGTTATATGGAATTCATTAATTCGAAGCACGTACAAGGATCGTGCACATTTACAAAGTTTATACAGTTATTTGGCGGACAATAAATTGGATTGTTTCGGTGTGGCATTTGCCGTTGTTGCTGGACTTCAACAGTTGGGCTATGACGATGCTCATTTGGCTATATCGGAAGACCATGCTTGGGTGGTGTTTGGAAAAACTGGCGAGGAAACAATTGAAGTTACCTGGCATGGAAAAGGTGCGTTTAATTGTCCTTTTTTCTGTTGGCGGTGAATTTATAAACTTTTTTTTTCGTTAATTTATTCAACGATATTTTTACGATTGAATTATTGTTATTGACTTGCAGGTGCTGAGGACAAACGTGGTCAATCGGTGACGACGGGCTATGAATCGCATGCATGGCTTTATTTATCTGGGAATCCGGTCATCTGTGATAGGTTTATTGAGGTTGGTGCTATAGTTTCTTCGATAAATCCATCATTGAGCATGACCAGTGCATGCTTGGAAGTGGCCGAACTACAGCAACAACTACTCTGGCTGCTTCATGACATGAACCATCTGCAGCGATATCCAATGGCGCTGGGGTGTTTAGGTATGAACAGCTCTATTCTTTACAATACATTTATTAACATAGATGTGATAAAGGGAGATTTAAAATTCAAATTAGATGAAAAAATTAAATTATTCAACTATTTTAGACAAAAATTTCATTTTCACGGAATTTCAAATAACTAATTTTGTTTATTAGGCGAACTTGAGGAGGTCCAAAAAACACCAGGACAACCATCTTGCTTAGAATTATACCAAGCGGCTGTTGAATCAGCTCAAATCCACTACAAAAATCATCATGTGTATCCGTACACATATCAAGGAGGCTATCATTACCGGCAAAAACAGTACAAAGACGCATTTTCCGCATGGGCAAATGCTGGCGATGTGATACGATTATTTATTTATTCGCGTGACGATGAAGAAATCTACAAGGAATTTTTGGACATCGCTAACGAGCTCATACCGCACATTATGAAAATGGAAAGCTCTGGACATTCAGCGAAAAGCATACTAAGAGATCCACATTGCTTTGCAAACTTGCTGAGGTATGATTGTTGAGATGTCTTTCGTGGTTTTTTACTTCAGCATTCAGATTTGTTTGAACATTCAAAAAACTTAATAAAATTCAATATTCATTCTCTTCAGATTCTACGATGGAATTTGTTACTGGGAACAGGGTTCGTTAACGCCCATTCTTCATATCGGATGGGTTAAACCGCTGGTAACGACGATTTCTCGGTTTGACGGTGAGATTCGATCTCAAGTGATAATCCACTGTGCAAAAGACGAAGACGACGTAAACGAGGCAAATACATCTATTCGATCGGAGAACAACAACAATGACGTTTCAATGGCGCCCAACAATCCGGATTCAAATGACAAAAAGCCAAAAAATGGCGATGATTCAAGTGACAAATCAGAAACCGTTCGAACAACATTGGTCGAAGCACTAACAGCTGCATGTGGTGAGAAGATTTTGAATCCAGATTTTCTTCTGCAGGGCGGTGGAAAGCCATTTGCTGAGTCGCAAGTAAAATCCGAACGCTATGATGAGAGTGAGAAACAACTTTTGCTCTTGGCGCAAACATCACCGCGTCACGGAGGATGTGATGAAGCATCGGCTGAATCCAATGAGAAACATTCGAATGAGGTGAAAACGGAACCAAAACCCGCTGCTGCTGATGATGAAAGTAAGGCAACGATACCATCAGTTGGTCCCGTATTCAAGGAAACAGCCGATGATGAAATAATCATTCCAAAACGACCCGAAATCACTCTTTACAGTCAGAAAATGAAAGGATTGAAAGACTTGCTGCTGGCCGAAAAGCTGAACACCCATGCGATATCACTGCAATTGACCGCACAATCACAAGTGCAAGTGGCCGGCAGGAAGAGCAGATCGATTGGTGCCATAAACTATGCAACAAGCACGAAACGGAGTCGACGTGAATAAACATCACCGCAAAGCATAAATTGAAAAAAAAAAATGAAATGAAACAAAATAATTCCGTAGCAAAAACAACCATTAAAAACCTTTTTTCATATTTTCTTCAATTGATCTATAAAAAAAAATTGCGCAAAAAGAAATGTCAACAGTTAATTAGTTCCACCAGAAATGGAACAATCAAAAATTCTTAATGGAAAAGCCTGTGATTCAAAGAAAATAATATTTTTTAATATCACAACAAGAAAAAAGGAGGAAAAAATATGAACCTTTTGTCAAATATCACATGAGTGTAATGAGCCCATTTTTTGAAATTTATTTAATTTTGTACACAAAAAAAGCGTGAGAAACGATTGGTAAACAAATGGTTTTGGGTTAGGAAATTGAGTGCGCCGTATTTGATGGCAAATAGAATGTATATTTCTGTTATGATATTGTTGGCTTTTTGATGCAGTGCAAATACGGTGAAGACACAAGCGCCGTTTTGCACTGTTTCTAAGAATGAATTTGTTTATTTTCCAATACAAACCGAAAGTGAGAGATGAGTGCTATATTTATATGGAATGGAATAAGTTATTGTTAAAGGATTGCATTGAAAAAGAAAGTGTTGACATTTTTTTTAAATTAATTTAATTTATTTTTGGTACAACTGAATGATGAAAAAAGCGATTGGGATAGGGAAATGAGTAAAAAAATTTTTTTTTCGATTTTACGCTTTCAATTTTATTTTACGTAATATTTTTTCTGCAAAATACACAACGAACGATTTTGTTTGTTTCTTTGAATCATTTTCTTTTAATCATGTCAATCTTTTTTTCTTCTGAAATTTGAAAACAACTAATGAAGTGCATATATTTCTAATGAGTGACATATTTTCGTATTGTTGACATTTGTTGAACCCATTCTCAACGCGCATTTAAAGAAAAATCCACTGTTAATTTTATCTGCAATAAATAGTCTCTGTGTAGTGCAACCACTGGAATCAAAATAAAATAGATGTGTTAATTCTCTGCAAGAATAATTACAACAAAATAATAGTACAATAGACGGGTAAAACAAACAACAACAACAAAACAGGTTTTCAAACAGACAGCAAAACTGAATCTAATTTCTTGCCATGCTGAAAATAATCAGTCAGAATCCCATATGAATCAAATAATCTCTGATTTTCCAATGTTTGATATATGTTTTAGATTGACAAAAGTAGATTTTATGTGCAAATATTTATGAAAACAAACCACAATTTAATCTGAATGTTAAACACTCATAATGAAACAGAACGGGAAATAATCACCGGAAAAATAAAACAATAATTGAATCGCTGCGGAAAAAGTCCGAGACTTTTATCGAAATGTTTTCGTATTGTGGACAATTTTCGTATATAACAATTATTTTTGGCTGAATTAAATTCATCGTACACAAAAAGACACTATGAAACGTCATTACTCAAAAACGCCTCCATGTACTGTCCGAATTTGGCGTTCTAGTCGTGATTGTAGAACAACGTAATTCTTCTTTTTATTGTATGCGACGAATTCAAGTTCCAAACTTCTGTTCCTTGCGAAAACTGCGATAAAGTCTGTAATTTTTCTCAGCAGTTCAATTTTATTAACAAAAAACTAAAACTAAACAGAAACAACACAGAAAATAAAACCCACACAGAATTCCCTGACAAACAAAAGTCGTATGCATTCACTTCCTTGGATTTAAATACAAACGATGTATTTTTAACATATTTATTTAGATAATTAATTTATTTTCGGACCCAAATATCTTTTAATGTTTGCTTTGAGCAAAATTCCATTGTTTTAATTCTCAATTCCGTGACTTGTGCATGTAAGTTATTATCACAGCTTAAGTTTTAATCAGCAAGTGCTTTTTTTCGTTGTTTTAAACAATTTGGTTTTATTTTGTGATTTTTAATTTTTTTCACACTCCTTCATTTTATTTATTATTTTTATAAAAGAAAAAAAGGAAACCGACGCGCATTTCAAAATACTTTTCAAATGAAATAAATCTATATTTTTATGTAAAATTCTTATTTGTGTTGTATTGCAAGACAGAAACAAATATAATCTCTCTTGATGTGCTTTTAGAAGTATTAGAAAAAATGTACAATCCAAAATAAATCTGAATAAATGAAGCAATAGAAATAAATTCGAATGGAGTCTTTATTTATGGAGAATTAGATGCATTGAATGGTTTGATTCAATATCTCCATTTAAACCTCATTTATAGCGAATACCCTGCCCAGCTGTGGAAATTTGTTCAGTGGTCAGCGACTGTAGATTTGATTCAATTACAGAGGAATTCCAGAAAAATTTTCCTCGGATGACAAAACCATGTTTTTATGTTGCGAAACTTCTGCCAATAGTCAATTTTTCCAAACGGTGAGTTACCTGTCATGGTGCTGTGAGAAAGAAGGAAACCTGCTAATTCACTCATTTGCCTAACCAAGTTCATCTCACCTGCGTGAATGGTCTGGTGAAAATTGAAAGAAATTCTCAAATCAAACTCCGCTTTTTTACATTTATTAGAATAAACAAGTTTTATTTATTTTCGCATCCTTACGAAGTGCTTATAAAAATGTTATATATGTTAATGCTATGCTTAAATTGGTGTAAAACGAGAACATAAAATTGATCTAATTTTGTGAAATCTATGAGTTGATTGATTTTTATTTTATCTGTTTTGATTTAATGATTAAAAATAAACATGTGTGCATCTATTACTAATTGCGCAAACACGTGAAATCATCGGCGGCATTGGCAATTGTGGAAATTGCATGATTTATTTCGAATGTTTTGTGCGCAATTCTTTGTCGACTTTTTCCGTGATTCGGTCTGAGCATGAAATGAATCATTGAAATTCAAAATCTGAATTCTTATGAATAGGCTTAATGGAGCTAAATTAAGCTATTGTCTAAATTGCTTCTTTGCTGGTTTCATTTGGTCAGAGTTCATTACATTGAATAAGTTTTTTTACTATCAATTTTTTTTTCAATAAATTCCTATGAATTGTTACTACGTTATTTGATTATTATTCATGTTATACTGTGTGAAAATGTAAGTAATTTTGACTGGGAACCGAAAAGGACTTCATTCTAATGAAAATTCAAATCAAAAACTTGTTTTTTTTAATTTAACATTAACTTTGTTATGGGTCATTTTTGCCGAATTCATTAATTTTGTTTTCATTTTCCATAGAAAATACTTAGAAATTAAACATTTACACTTTTTTTTATTTACAACTTAAAGAGAAACAGAAAAAAAACCAATCGAGCAAAAGAAAAGTAATAATTAAGTTAAATCCAGATCGTGATTAAAACCTAATTTATGTAACAAATCGATAAAACATTTCCTGTTGATTTCATTTCAAGTTTCTTTTTTTGGCATTATTTCAACTATTTTGCATGCAAATCGCAATGCTTCAGCTAATGCAAGTCTAACTACTATGTCCTTAATCGATGCTTGTTACTAAATATGTTAAACTTATTCAGGTATTGAATATGAAATAAATAAAATCTCTTTTTCTCTTGAAACGACAAACATTGTTTTCTTTTACGTAAAGGCTATATGTAACGTAAGTTAATATCTTCAATTGAATTCATACAAATGCAGAAAAAAAACGGAATTTAATGTAAAGGATATAAAATAAGACACTAGTTTCATCATGTTTTGAATTTGTGTTTGTCAGGAGTACGGTGCACTAAATGAAGGCAGGAATTGTTTTGAAATTGATGGTTGATTTGTGCTGGATATTTTCCTCTAAAGGGATGATGCGACAAAATCCGAATAATTCTATTGAATTTGGGAATAATCCTGCAATGAAAAAAGAAGAAAGGTATTAGTTTTGCAACGAAACGAAGCATTTTTCTTATTTTGAAAGAAAACAAATTGAAAGATTTCAATAAGAAAGCCGATTTGCATCATACGATATAGTACACACCTTCAAATCAAGGTTTATGATTGCCTATCGATGGTTTGGAAGAACCATTCAGAGAATCGTCTAAGTTGTTGAACAGCCGCTTGACTCTCGTCCTGCAACCGCCGATTCTCTTCGGTCAATTTGCGTACGGCATGCTCCAGCGAAACTCGACGATTGGTTTCCTTTGTAATGCGATCTTCGAGTTGACATACTTGGTTTTGTAGATCGGGCAAGTTTGACTGCGTACGATTTGGTCTACCTGAGCCGGACGATGTCGATGATGTGGACGATAACGATTCATACGATGGTGAATTGTTGCCATGTTGTCGTTCGGTTTGATTGCCGTTCGCGGAGTTCATGATTGATGTCGGTGGAATGCCACCGGTTTCGTAATAATGTTTCTTCAAGCCTTCGTTAATCTGTGTGATTGCACTGTCAACCAAACTGCTCCAGTCGACATCTTTCGTATCTGGAATCAGTGGCAGCGAACGTGGTGGCACAAAATAGTCATTTTCTTTGTTTTTCTTCAGTTGATTATTTGCTGACACAGTTTTGTTGTTCAAATTATTATTGTTATTGACACCATTGCTGCCGGTCATTCTTCGTGGCGATGGGCTGTCTTCGTGAATGTGCAACACATTCTCTTCTTTCATTGGCGAACGTTGCATCGTTGACGATATGACAGTAGCTGGCCGAGCTGTTGTCAGAATAATATCCGAATCATTCACTGGATTCGATCCATTGGTTTTGGCCTTGTGCATCATTTCTGAGTTTTCAATCGTATTTTTGAGCTTCAAATCAGTCGGTAGGGGCACAGTGTGTGAACCAAGATTGATGCCTTCACGTGACCGTGATTTTTTACGCATCAGAAAAATATCATCGGTTGTGGTGACATTCAATGGCTTTAAGCCATTGTTTAGTGCCGCAATATTACCTAAACTATGACTATTTTGTGAGTTCTTCTGTGTTTGTGCTTTGATTGACTGCAAACCGCCATTGTGGAAATTGTCATCGTTGCTCGTCATATTGTAGTCGGGATTGATGAGTTTCATGAGATCCTCTTGCAACGTACTGTTTGAAAAATTTACACTATTCCGCTGTTGCAAATGACTTAGGTTGCGATTCGTTACACCTGGCCGTAGTCGAGCTTCGGTCAACGGTCGTGGACTGTTGTTTCGGCTGCTCGAATTCGATGCTGATGAAGATACAGTTCCATTGCCTAAAGGAGGAAAAACAGTTAGTTCATTTGCTCTCAATTCAAAATCAATGTTAATCTAAACTTACTTTTCGTCTTGTGCACGCTATTTGCTGTTGATGATCGTTTCAGCTGTGATAGATCCATATTTTGAATGCCATTGCTGAGTTCTTCCTCGTTACTCTTCCGCGACAAATTATAAATGGGTTCAATGGAGCAATTGTCGAGTTGACTACCTTCAGGTGATGTATTTTTCAGCATTGTTCTGGCGAGTTGCATCTCGTGCACTGCATCGCTGGAGCCATTTGAAATGATGGATCGTGGTGGTGGTAATTTTGCATACGTTGCCATTTTTGGATCGTGTACCGAAAGTGGTCGAGAGCTATTTAGTGGGACCGAATTTGAATTTGTTAGCTTTTGATGTTGTGCGTACTGTGGTGATTTTTGATAGCGTTGCTTCTGGTTCTTGTCATCTTCAGGTGCTTCAAGGATTTCATACCATCGGTCATCATTTGATGAGTGACCGCTTGATGATGATGTCAAAGTACCAGTGTGATCAAGACCGTTTCCAGCGATGAAACGCATTGCATTCGGATGATTTTCGTTGTTATGTGCGCCGAACGAACGACTGCTGCTTCCGGTGCCATAGCCAGAGCTATTGCTCGATCGTGGTGGCGAAAAATTCCGATCAAATCGACGATGTGATGAATGTGTAACACTCTTATGCTTTGGTGGCTTTTTCGCCGGTTCATCCAAATCGTAATCAATTTCATAGTTGATGATATTGAATTTGCACTGAGAATAGAAACAGCCTCGACGTGGTGAATGGTCTTTATGTGACTCTATAACGGTCACCGTAACTTGGGTGGAGGTTTTAAGTAGATCAACCATTTCATCGTGCGACAATGTGGCAACGGCAACTTTGCAAATCTCCACCAAACGATGTCCCTGTCGTAAACCGGCCGACCAAGCCTGTCCCTGTTGCTCTACTTGTGTTACAACGCCATCGGGCTGAACATGGAATCCAAGCTGACCCAATTGATTTCTACGCAAATTCAATTCAATCGCTCCACATCCAGGTGTAACGGCTCGCAGTCGTTCAATCACTTCCAATTGTTCATCCCGTTCGGCCGACTCACGCAGACTCAATGTAATGCATTCACTTTGATGATGATAGATTCGAATACAGAATCCATTCGTTGACCAACCCAAAATCGATCGGCACGGAGTGACAAAGACAATTTGCCGCGAACACTCTTCCATGAGTACGAATGTGTCATGTGAAATGCCCAAAAATGCATCAACAAACTGGCCGCCATCGTGTAAAATCACTTGCCAGCAAAATGCACCACGTTGAATGCCGCTTCCGTTGAACTTTGGTCGTTGCCGCTCCTTCTTCTTTCCGGCACTGAATATCGAAAATTTGCTGCCACTTTCAATCATTGTGGTTGTAATATAATTCGCTGCCAAATCCTTAAGATATTCCTGTCGTGTGCGCGTTGCCATCGTTGCAAACTTTTCACTTCGATGAGCCGCATTTTCTGCATTGATGATTTTCGCGAGCAAAAAGTCGGTGAATGATTTTCCCTTTGAGTAGATCGCATTCCCGCGAATCGGTGGTCCAAATACTGGGACTTCTTTCGATCGTGATACCGATACTTTGTACTGTGTGTGATCGGTGCATGGGTTGTAGGCGCGAACCACAACAAACACATGCTGAAATTGGCTGCGGATATTTTTTGGTGTGAACGGCAACGAGCCTGGCTCTTGGAACACAATGGTTACAATATCGTTGCCAATGTGTCGTTTGCGCAATAATTGCTGTCGATTGTTTGGTGTGAACGGCAGCATTGTGCTCACATGGAACATCACCTCGCAATCCTGATAAGTGGCGTACAGCGAGTGAGTGCCAGTCGAATCGGTTTTATTGTCCAATCCGGCTTTGTAATGATCGAATCCCTTCAGACAAACAGTTTTACCGATTGTTTGCAGGAATTCGGTGAACGCTGGTCCAGCTTCTTCATTGTTGTACATGTCCTCTTCGGTGCTTTGCCCAGCTCGACAGTACAAAATTCCGACTTTATACTTATTGGTCAAACCTTGTTCATCCAATTTCAGCAACTGTTGTTCACATTGTGATGTACTCACGCCCAACCGTAAGCTGGGCAATTGAATGTCTGGCGCAACATATTCAATGATATCTTTGGTTGTGGCCGGTTTGCCAACGCCACGTGTATTTGGAATCGCGTCTTCAACTACTGAACCACGAAGTGTAAGCAACTCGGATGTTCGTACAATCATTCGCACGAGATGCGGTGCATCTTTGGCGTCTTTCGAGTTTTCTCGTTCGTATTGTTGCTGCGGTGTTTCGGGTAGTTTTTCACGTTTAATTGATATCGCCACCGGACCAAGCTGTTCATCCATTCCAAACCAATTTTGATGCTCTTGACCAATGAAATACTTGCGATAGTATCGTGCTCCAGAGTCGACTGATTCAATGGGCCGCTGTGTACGTTGAAATGGGCAAGTGTTATCCTTCCATAGAGCTTCATTTGGTTCACTTTCCAAAATCGATACGCCATAAGCAAGCGCCGGACGATGAATTGCATTCTTTTGGCTCACATTATTCCCGAATCGGGTCAAACTAACTTCTCGCTCCTCTTCGCCGCCGATTTCATTGCGGAAGAATGGGCAGCTCTCAATCAATTCATTGCTTTGACCATCACCGTAATCGTCGACATTTTCATTTTGTGCCGAGTCCGGAGTGGATGATCTTGCGTTTAACATTGATGCAGCCGATGCTCCTGTCGTTGTGTTGCGTCGTCGGGCCAACAATAATCCACGTAATTTAGCCGCATAACCCAAATTAGCTGCTAATGATTGGCAATCATAATGGGCGAATGCTCGTCGTTTTTGTCTCTCTTCCATATCGGCCGATAGAGTGGATGCAATACTGCAATCTTCCAAAATACCGTTGCTCACCGATGTTGGATGTGCGATTGACATCGATCGTGTCTGTTTCGTTTGACCCCACAATCGTTGTAGTTTATTTCGTAGTTTTGGGCTGCCTCTATCAATACTATCCTCACTCAATGATTCGTTGATGAAATTCTGTTGTGTGTGCGTCGTTGTACTGTTAAGCACAGCACTGACTGTTGTGTTTGCTGTGTGAGCCATTGCTGCTGATTTAACGGTCGGTGGTTCAGCGACTTTGCCTTTCATGTATTCGACGGGACCAGGTGAACGTTGATCGGTGCCAATCACACCGAGAACAGCCGGCCGATAATCCTGTAGCATCGCAAAGAAGCTTTCGCTCGTACCTCGTGAATTTTTCGGTGGTGTTGATGCTAGTGCATCGATCGATCCATGTGAACCGTACTCACGACGCAATCCGGGCACTGGATGTGATCGTTCTGAATGCAAACCATTACCATTTGTTTGATTTCCATTTGTCGTTGCTTCATTGTGCATGAGCTCTAAACTCGAATTCGAGCGATACATATTGTCTGACCGTTGTTGCGAGTGCATTCGATGATATGCACCTGTTGCAGCAGCCGAAGATTGATAAGCGTTGCGCGCATTATTCATTAGGTGTCTTTCGTTGACCGAAGCGCGAGCCGTTAAGCCGGCACCAACACGTACACGTAACACATTGCTGTTGTAATATTCGACGGCGTGTAAAGCTCGTTCACGTGCACTGCCTTGTCGCGGCGGTAGATTATGACTGATATTGCCTTTGTTATTTGTGATATTGTTTATCGATGCTGCTGGTGATGTGGTTGCTGTTGCCGTAGCCATCGTTGCGATGGCAGGTGCTATATTTGCTGATGCAGGATTATTCATGGTTGACGCTGCGCTCATATTTACCGAGTTTGCCATTTTGGTTGGTGTTGACATTTTTCGTGGCGAATCGCCACATTCTGTTTTCCCACCAGTCATACCATTTTCAGGTGCCTGCAATGCAAAAAAAATAACCACATTAATTTGAATTGATCACATTCGGTTTTAATTTATATGCAAAAATTTATTTTTATATCGTTAAGAGCAGATGATTGTAAGTACCAAAGCAAAATGTACGAAAACACTTTTATATCTTCATTTTTATTCGCTTGAGAAGAAAAAGAAAGAGAAACTTCGTGTACAACAACGTCTTTGATACTTGACGGTAAATTCACGACTGAATCCCATAGCCAAGAAAATATTGACGTTTGTCCTAATAAAAGTAAAATACCAAAATGAGACAGCGATATATTAAATGAAATACAGACGATTTCTCTTCCTCACAGCAAACGATTCAGGAAAGAGCAAACAAAAGAAATTAGACAACACACATTTTCATTGAAATGTGCATGGCCATTGAGTGTTAGAGCTATGTGATGCGAGCCGAACAAAACAAGGAGAAGAACAGAAGATCCATTCCTTTTCACAAATTCAACGATGAAATAAAAAAATAGAAGAAAGAGAACGTTTCCTTCGTAGAAGTAAACGATCATCATTTATGACGCCCTTTTGTATTGCACCCGTACACAGTGTCGCTCTGTGTGTGGACCATTTCTCTCTCGCTCTCCTTTGAGATGCTCTTTCCTTTTTTTCGTAACGCTTCATTCTTCATTTTTTTTTCTACGTCTTCTCCACGCTGCGTTTTTATTTCATTCGTTCGGTCGTTTGGTCGGTCGTTTGGTCGTTCTTTCCAACGCACATACTTGAATTTCGGGTTCGTTGGGTAATTCACTCAAATTATAGTCTCTTGAACACAGAGCTCAAACCGGGCCATACTGTGTGCTCAAGTGAGAGAACACACTTGAGCTGAAGAAAGTCGATTTTTATTTTATTCGTTTCTTAAATTCATTCACTGTTGGCTATGGCATTGGCTCAATGTACAGTGTACACTACTTCTCCAGCAACCGAAACAAAATAAATGATTTTTGCTCACTTCGATGCATACATCAGCGGCTCTGTAAGCGGAATGGAGTTTGTTCTAAATTCAAAAAATGAATAAAAATCCGTTTTGAAACATCAAAGTCCTCCTAGTTCAATTGTTCAACGTTTTTCTGAAATATCACAATTTTTTTGTGTGTGAAATTCTCTATTTTCCGAGAAAAAGAATGGACTTTTGATCGGATGCCAATAAATTTTGTCGCAAGGTAACAATGTTGAAATGGCATTCGGAACACATATTATGCCAACCGTTTGTTGACCAAGAACAGTGAAACGATTGATAAGCACACTCTTTTGAACTTGTTAGGAATGAACAATTTTTTTTTGTGTCCGTCGTTTTGTTTTCTCATAGTTTTTTTTTGTTGCGGAGAAAAAAATAAAGTCATAAAGATAAAAATTGGTTGTGATGACGAAGAAACGCGAACCAGGATGTTTGAGAAGCGCCTTCGAGAAGAGCGTTCGAAAAAAAAACTGAAACCCATCTCAACGACTGAGCACATTTCCTTTTTAACGAGTACCCATTTTTTTCAAACGTAATTCCGAAGGCGTATTAATTCTACCTGCGACTCGGAGCAATAGAAAATTCGATATTAATTTTCCTCTTCCTTGGGTTTATTCAACTATGCATGTTCCGTGGTCGTGGCTCTTCGATTAATCGTACAAATATTTTGTGTGTTTATTAAATGTGTGGACGATTTTTTATAGCTGTGATGTGTTGCACCTGCTTCAATTATTGAATTATTGGAACATGGCTTCGTTGCAGTGAGAATGGTAAATAAAGAACATTCATCGACTGATTGCGCAGTTCCAGAGAGAAAAAAGAACAACAACGAAGTAAATCGTCGATATTAAACGTCAATGGTTTTTAACCACAAATCAAACGCGACCATTTTTATGATTTTCAGCTCAGGTGTATTTCTTAGTAAGAAATTTTCTTACTGTCGTCATTCGTCGATCAAACGATTTAATTCCCATCGCAGTTTCAATCGTCACTCCGAACAAAACGATTTATGGCAAGGAGAGTTTTTCCCAAAGAAATGCTGAGTTTCGTTAAATTCCCAAAGTCGGCAATCATCCTTGTTCTTCCCGTCAGGCACCAGCAACACACCGCATGTGTTTTTTAGAACACGTTTGAATAAATTATATGTAGAACTGCGCTATTATCAAAAATCGAAATGCTCTCTATAAAGTTGCGTCTCAAAGGCAATATTTATTAAATACCAATCTGGTGTGGTTTTTATCTATGTTTTTGATTTATTTTTGTTTAAATAAGCCCAGCTCAGAACATGCATTATATCGAAAGAAGAAGAAAACGTTGTTACAAGGTGAGCACTCCTAATTAATGCACTCCAACCGATGCGCTAGATCGATTTTCGAAACGAAGAGCCACTTTGAATAACGACGGTTTAATGAAAAGGATTTTTTTCGTTACAGATTAAAGGGTTGCATTCAGATTGTCTGCTATGTGTGTTTCTGATACGCTCAATTTTAATGGAGAAAAAATGAAAAAAAGATAGACGAAGACGATGTAACCGAGAGAAGAAGAAAACTAGTCGGTGTGCTTAGAAGAAGTAATGATCGTCGTTCTCATCGTCGATGCTCATTTATTGGATGCGTTGAGTGCATTAGACCATCGTTAAAATAGAAAAAAACGAACATTTTATGAATGGTTCAAGTGGCCATACCTTCCAACCGGTCGTTTTCATGCCGTTGCTGAATCGATCCGTTGCATTGCGTGAGTGCTTTGTCTATTATCAATTGACTTTTTCGGTAATAAAATCGGAGTTCAGATGAACGCGAGCGCACACACTTTCATTTCTAACGCCCCAAAGTCAGCAATCTTGCGGTGAAACCAAATTAAGATTAATTACACTGCATGAATTCGTTGGATCCTTTTCACAAAATCTACATACACTACCGCCACTAGTGCAATCATGCCACCACATTTCAGTTTTTTAATAATTTTGTTTATGTTTTAATTACTCTTGGCTTTTGAACGATTCTATACAAAGAGACTTAAATCGAATTTCACTTCGTCTCCTATCGTGTTTGTGTTTACACGTAAACGTTTCATCACATACTGAAATGAAATGCCTACTCAACAACACACAACACAACTCAACAGCACAGCACACCACGTCAAAACTAATACTGAATATGATATTTGCCTTTCGTTGGATTTTCGTTTGAGTTTCAGTGCTAGTAACGCACATATGTTCTAGATGTGAACGAAGCAGAAATGTGAATGGCAACGTTGCAATCAAACACACATACAACACTCTCGGCAGGGCAGACAGATAAATACCGACTAAACACATGATAATGAATTTTTGCTATCATAACATCCGTGCGAAATGTCGTTGCCGTTTGAACAACCCACAGAGCTGTCATCATGCATCATCCGCATTAATTCTGAATTCGGTTGCCTTAACTCGGTTCTACTTTTGAGTGAAAAAAAAACATTGCTGCCTCCGAATGTGGAAAAAATAAATGCAAAACTCCATGTACATTTTTGGCAACAAACATTGACACATGACAAATGTTGCGGTTGCAAATACTATTACTATCTGCATGAGAATTTTTCCTTTTTCCACCCGAAAATATGCACACCATATAGCAGACGTCACCGTTTTTCAGAAATGCATTTTATTTATTGCATAACCGAACAAATCGTTTGTAGTTTAGTAACATGACAGCGTTTGGTTTTTTTGCCTCTTACTCTCTTCCTCTCTCTCTCTCTAGACTTGCAATAATTTACGAGCATGTGAAATACGAACGGGAGCAAATATTTTTGCGCGATATGCATGTAATTGCGAAATTCCAATAAAATTATCGCATTGTTAGCGCGCGCATTTTCCACATATTTCTCTGTTTTTTCTGTTTTAAAATTGTGGTGAGAAACCCGAATATTTTCGGTATTATCATTTTAATTCAATTTAATGAAATTCGATCTGATCCGATGTGAGCGACAATCTATGAGGTAGATCACAATCTGTGTGTGTATGTGTCTGTCACCTATTTCAACCGGCACTCCAGTGTTTCATAGTTCGTTAAACAGAACGAATAATTAAATTTCATCTGTCGTGACATTTGTGAGGTCAACTGACGCCACAGAATAATTCGATCTTTCTGATAAAGAATATCATAAAAAATTGAATTCCATTATTATTCATATAAAATCTCAATTTTGAATAGAAAAACAATCTGTTGATATTTTTCATCGTTCAACGAAAGTGTCTTTTCGTTTTGGTTTATGATGTCGACTGGGAGAAATGAAAGCAAAGTTTGAGTGAATAAATTCCAAATATGTGAGAGACAACTAGTATGACATCGAGCGACTAATAAAATCTGAAAAACAATCAAACCCGGCCAGTTACATTGTGGCAAAAGACATAATCGTTGTGAGGCGCATACGCTGATGGAAGCTGAGACAACAGCTGACACAGTGGGATATTGAATTCATCCCATGAAACAAGCCAAACGACAAACCATGCGTTTTTCGTTTCATTGGAATTTTCGCTTTACATCATATTCCATCCGAGTGTTGTGTGTGTGTTTGCCCAATTAGCCTCGTCTATTGCATTGACACTGCAAGCAAAACACCAACCGAGAGCCGAGCGAACAATGAACATCAATAACCATAAATAAGGGACACCCAATGCATCAAATCCAATTTGTTGACCAAATGAAATGTAATTGCAATCAATTGACCATATATTGCAACAGTGTGTCGTTATTCTATTGATTTAAGTTGATTTCATTAAATATCACCCTCCATTTTCCATTCGGTTGAATAATATCTCGTGCACATAAACGTAAATGTTACGAGAGAGAACACAATGGCGTTCACTGTATACATAGAGATTGACTTTGAGAATATATTGACCGATTAGCAAATCTCTTTCTCTCTAGGTAAACACAAATGTCGAGTCAGAACATTACAATTTCCGATACGCAATCAAAATATGCAACGAAATAGGTCGTCGCACGATCGTCGGCTCAAAGTGAACGAATAT